GACAGAGAAGAAAATAGGGGCTTGACTGAAGTGCAAATGAGATAGAGACAGCAAAACATGGATTACAAGTACAGTTAGGCACAAAAGAAATCGCCAGGTCTCGTCAAAGACAATAGTGACAGGGTCTGCCCAAAAAACTTCTACCTCAGTTGCAATTGAACCTTTCAAACCGGTTTGGCTCGGTTCCCACTAACTTAGTCATGATATTTGGCAATAATTTGCATTTAACTTGGACGTTAAGTTACTGTCCATCAAATTTTGATTTGCCTATTTGTGACTTGATTCGCTGTGATTTCGAATTTCAGTGTTATTACATGACATACAAAATAGTATAAAATTAAATATTGATAGAGAATCAAATAAAAGATTAATAGAGTTCAGATTTTGACTTATGACGTTATTCCTGAAAAACGTGAGATCAAATCGAGCGTTACACTTCGGTGTGACAGGCTGAACAACATAACCTTACCCACGCAATCTTTCCTTTATAAATATTGAATGTCAATACCATTATTTACGACAGTTACATTGAATATAAATGAGAGATAACGCATTGAGTTTGATTTCTGTGTAAGATGGGGCGACAAAGATAATTTTGTTGAGTCAGCCATTTTATTTGTATGCAAATTTAGAAGTTTAACAAAGGATCTTTCGTATCAAATAATCAAATAGGCCTAATGCAGTAGTGACAGCGCTTTGAATGCACAAATAAATGTCTTTAATATGTTTATACAGGGTGGAAACGTTAAGTGATCTCACTCGATTATTTCTAAACTATACAAGATATTGAAAAACTGGTTACTGATCCTGAAAGTGCTTCACGAGCCCTTTTAAACGGTACCTATGATAGGTTACAGAATAAACGGGATCTATCTGAAAATTCAATGTTTCCAGCTTCCATACTAAATGTATGCCAGACACACAATATTAGAAGTGTAATTTTTTTTATTTAATAATAAACTCTTAAAATAAACTCGTAAATTGTATTCTTATTTAAAATTATTCATGGAAAACATTGGTTTTAGGCTTTACTTGCTATAATATTGTCAAGAGATGAGTGTCATGACTGTGGTAGTACTAAATGTATGAAAGAAAGAAACATTGAATTTTTGGATAGATCCAGTTTATTCTGTAACCTATTATTGATACCATTGGATAAAGCTTGTGAAGCACCTTTAGAATCAAAAATCAGTTTTACGATATCATGTGTAGTTTTTAAAATAATGTGACTTTACTAAATGTATGGAAGCTAGAAACATTGAATTTTCGGATAGATCAAGTTTATTCTGTAACCTATTATTAGTACCTTTTGATAGAGCTCATAAAGCACTTTCAGGATCAGTAACTAGTTTATTGATATCTTGTATAGTTTAGAAATAATCGAGTGAGATCACTTATCGTTTCCACCCTGTTTAGCTAAATACTCTTAGACAATTCGATTTTTCCAGTTATTCAAAATTTATTTCGAGATGTGACTCTTTAACGCTACAAAATGTAATAATTCTTTTTCAATTTTTTTTAATTTCAGCTATTCATATGCACTTATCTTGTACATATTCGTCCACCAAACATTCGGAATAAATTACGAAGAATAAGGAATAGACACAATGACTCAAGTCCCCAAAAAAAACTATTAAAATGTTGTGTGGATTGCGCACGCGCCCAGGTAGGGAGAGGGTTCGGCACCTGCCCTAAACAGGGCCCACACAATCACACACTTTACGCATCACTATACCACTTACCTTTACAATCTTTAAACGCTTTAAAAAAAGTGACGTATGCTACTGCCTTTTGCCCCACACTTACGTTAGAAAAAGGTCACAAGACACAGTGCATCTTGTTTAAATTACGACTAATTATGCATATTTGTTACTTACTGTAAGTAATTAAGTGTTTTTTCATGTTTTTCAAACCAATATTAGAAAATTTAAATGTACTTATGTCTTATAGGCATAACGCTCATTATTTCTTGGAAATCATCACCTCCGCGCTCAAATATTTCAAATTAAAATGAAACACACGTTGAATTATAATTACCGGCAACCGACGCTGTGTTGTCAACGCGAAAAAATAAATCCCGGGCCCCGCCAATTATTTCAATTAATGACACGTCGCGGCGTCGACAGGAAAAGGAAGCCCGAGCTAAGTTTAGTCCGCGATTGTGCACTGAGTGACAGCTAGATTTGATTAATTAATTTGTGGCCCTCTATTCGCCGAGAAGGATAATAAATCGTGCGTGAGCTTTGGCCTCCCGTGAGATGTCTCCAAAGCCCGACACGCCGCTGAATAAATGATTGAGTCAAACGCAAGCATTATATCTGTCTAGACCGAAATAAACCGCTAACGATGTCTTTACAGGTAAGCAATAATAAAGTCGTCAGATCTAGTTCCTTCAGATCATTAGAATTCCAAGAGCTAACTGCTAGAAACCGAAATAATTTCATTAAATCAACCGACTGATGCACACAAAAACGAAACGCGGCGGCCTCAAAATATTCACAAAAACAACTGAATTGCTTCAAAATGGTTCCGCTAAATAAACAATGTTCAAGTCAAACCTACCAACACATGGTTAGGGTCTTTCGCACATTCAATAAACTAAACTTGAAACCGAATCGTTAGCTTCGTGGGTCCCGAATTTGTTATTAATAATCATATCGGCGCCATATTGCAAAGCCGCCGACGCACCCTGGCAACACACGTGTGAATAGAAAAAAATAAGATTTTGTCGCTGTTTTTCGTTTTTGGTTCCGCTTTGAATTGATTTTTATTTTTATTAATTTTGCTAGTGTCCTTTTTCTTAAATTTTAATTATAATAATTGATATTATGGTAATTAATTTGTAAAATCGTGAATAACGTCCTAATTTAACGTAAAACTAAATAAATAAATAAATTGTACCTATTAATATGCTAAGAAAATAAAAAAAAATATTTCATTTTGTAATATTGTTAAGAAATTACGTACGTACTTAGTTTTAAACCCTGCAACAAAATAACTTTAACTTACTTACATTTTACATCATTTTCAGCGCCTTTACTTGGTGATTGTCGTCTGTCATCGTCATTCAGTTGTTTGTTTATTTACCTACACTTCACACTGACAATAAGTAGATAAGGTTATGTAACAGTGAGGTATTTCAGCCTAATGATAACAGTTTACTTTGCTGAACACCTACTACAGATTTAGAAATAATGGCTGAAAAATGAATTTAACATTAAAAGATTAAATTTAGTTTAATTCAGCCTTAATCAAACAAAAATATTTTACTTGCGCTAGCTACTTACCGCGGAAAGCTAAGTAAGCTTAACTTTTGGAAATTAAGCTTAGCATACATTACTTAGTTAACATTATGCTAAGTTTTAATACAGATTTTAACTGCATATTGACAATTCGATTCTTTTAAGTTATTAAAAAATATTTAGTTTGAAATCCGCCTCTTTAGGATAATAAGTTTTAATAACTATGCATATTGAGGTTTTTTTTATTAGTGCTACTGAATTGGAGCTAGTAGATTATTATAACTTATAAATCGGGAAAGTTCAGGACAAAAGCTTTTGAAATTATAATTCACCTACGAAGACTACGAAACAATTCCTCAGCTTCTTGTCACTGCAGTTTTCCGTTAACGCAAGTCGTAGGAACTATAGTGTGTTCACTCTAAGATGGAGCGGGTGACATGTCATACAATCCAAATAACGCCTATCAAGTTCAATAATTTGTGCCGAGTGCTCGGTGCAAGGCAATGTCGTACTTCATTGCTAGGAATGCATGGATAGTGCAGTCATCTTATGTCTATATGTCTATCATACGATATTGGAAACAAAACATATCGAATAAATTACACCATGATGAAACCTATGCAATTTTCCAAAATTTAGCATAGAAATCAATCACTCATATCTATAATGATGAAGAAATAAATAAGTAGGTGGCATCTTTAGTGTCATTAATGGATATTGTTTGCATTGTGATTGGCGTCCATTTTAGCACAAAGTTTTTAAGTTAATATTCTAATGTGGGTGACATTGTCTATTATATCCATTGTTTCTTAATTTTAAGAATACAATGAAAAATATCCTACCTAACCTGGTATGTTTGATTGTTGCACTCTTTTAAAAGCCTTTTTTGTATAAAATAAATTAACCTATAGCTACAGAAACTGTACCTAAACCTGAGTTAATAAATAACTTTAATCAAAAAGTAGACCATCATATAAGAATTTTGCCAGTTTCATATCAAAATGTGAATTGAAATAACTTACGGCACTTACGGGCCATTTAGTCCACCTTAGCTAGGGTGTACTTAAGTCACATGAAAAAATAACAAGTAGGTACTACTTACGAATACGAAAATAAAAGGATGATGCCTAATAAAGCCATACATGACAGTTTGGATACATAAACAAAAACAAAAATGTAGGTAGGTTACCCTATACCTGAAAAGCGCGTAACCCGCGTAAGTCAACAATATATCTACCCCCTAAATACAATGAATGTCAATTATTCAACAATATTATTCATAAATTACAATTCATGCAGAAATTTAAAAAGCGGTAAGATAAGTATTGTTTTATGAAATAAAAACTATTGTATGTAAATAGGAACTTAACATAAGATAAATATTATGGAAAAAAATTGATGTAACAAACAATTTATCAGCGTCAAACAATCGAAATGTTCAAAACAACATCTCAAATTATGTCAAATTGTGACAGTATCAAAGAAATTGGACATGTTGTTTACAAGTTGTTGCTAAATGTAAATAAACTTTCATATATTATGTCAAACAAATACCACAACATCAGTAACTTTCTTCAGTCAAACTGCCATGACACTGAATGAACTTGAAAAGCTTTAACACTGAAAAGCGATATTCTGACATATCTGCTGTTTTCGATCCATTGAATAAGGGCATAACTCGAGTTATGCCGATATCACACTGATAGTGGTCAAGCAGTCGATAACCTGTGCAAAACAAAGCTTAGGTCGACGACTCACCACGGGGCTGTCGTCGCCGAGGTCCGAGTCTCGGTCGGCGTCCGCCATAGCGTACGCCGGTACCGGCTCGCGATTCTTCACCCGAATCTTGGCGGTTTTGTTGACGAGGGAACGAATACGCCACTGGGGCACGTGCTCACACGTTCACACGCGCACGAACATACAAAACGAGTAGCGGAGCGGACAAATACGAGCGGCGGCGGTGCTCGCACGGAATGGTATGGCGAGCGAAACCGCCCGAGCCCCCTCCGCGGCTAGGCCCCGCCTTAAGGCGTCCACGTCACAGCGAATCAAACCCCGCGATATTAAACTGATATTTGTGTGATACGCTCCGCCCGCCGCTTATATTGTTTTATTCGAGCGATAAAATAATCGAGTCAGAGTCCGAGAGGTGATTAATAACGATCATGAAACGGTTAACGGCTTCGAATCGAGTTCGCTAATGAGCCAGTTAATGTACCGGTGTCGGGTGTTTGATTAAAATTACAGATTTATTGACGATTGTGATTGGTTCAGATTAATTGACAGCGATTAATAAGATACATGTCCAGTTAAAAACTTTAGATAGTTAACTGGGTATAATTAATTGGTCAATTTAATGTATATTTTATTCTTGTTCTGAATAATATTAATAAATAGGGACATTACTTACCTATTATTAACTAATTAGCTGTTTGCAATGAGAATCTGATGCTTGCAATGGGGATCCTAAAAGGCACTAATGCCCGTTTTCATCATAAAACCCTAATTTTTAAGTGTTATGTGTTACCACACAAAATTCCTGTTATGTGTTACCATAGGGGTCACTTAAAAAATAGGGATTGATGGTGAAAACGGGCATGAGTCCCAGGAACTCTACATAAAAATGGTTTGAATTTATTCGATTTAATATACTTAATAAAAATATTGAAATCAAAGTGAACTCCTTCTAAGATAATAAAAAGCAACTGAATCCTCCACAATAGTTAATTTATAATGAAAATACATATAATTAATTCATTCAAGAACGGATTAAATCATTCATTAAAATTCGAAGTTTTTCTAAAAAAACGTGAAAACTTTCAATGGTAGAAGAGACACAACTCGAAATCTACAAAAAGTGTGTTAACATAGGTCATATTTTATTTCTTTTCGGTGATTCGATTATCTAAGGCTTACATATCTTCCGTAATAAATAAAGTTTTGATTAGGTAACCGCTCAAATACATTGTAAATAAGCTTAATAACCTCCTCCTTTTTTGAAGTCGGTTAAAAATTAACAAGAACCCGAAAATAATAAAGAACAGTTTATTGTGTAAAAAAAGCCTGTGATGACTCGAATTGTAAAAAAAATTACTCTCTCTTCATAAGAAATAGTAGGAAGTTCTCTAGTAGAGCTTTTGCGAATAATTTAAAAATTACAAAGTGTATTAATCAACTTTGTGGAGGGGAGGTCATGTTAGGTAAAAGTTAGTAGGTAATACTTATTACGAAAATCATATTTTTAAAGTTTTTCTCGGACCAACAACGCAAGACTCTCCAGTTAAGAATTCAAATCTGTGATTGGTCCTAAATCCTAATTCTATTTTACTTCATCTTTTGTGACAGGTTGAAGTCACAACTAAGACCCAGTTTTTGAAAGAAACTAAGCCTAAAATTTCCCTTTGTTTTATTATCCGCTTTGCATTTGATGTTCTTCTGATTAATTTCGTTGCGGGTCCAATGACTGTTTAACTTTCCCGCGGGAAAAACTTGACTTCACTGGTTGGGTTTTTATTGGCGGTCAAGCTCTAGATCCTGGCTACACAAGAGTTGCAGCGGTGGGAACGAGAGGAATTGACTCTATGCTTGAATTATAAACATTTTGCTTTACAAGACGATGATAAGCTTCCTTGATTTTTGATAACTATCTTGGATTTTCATAAACAAAATAATTTTAACGATTTTCCAGCTATAGATTCTCCAGTACGCTCCAGATTCAGCACAGAACAAAGGCATGTATTGCTAGGTGGAGCAGACAACAGCAATTAATACGGGGCGGCAGATCAATCGGTTGTCGAACAGTGCAAGTGCTCGGCTACGGTACTGGGTAAGAGAGAAGAGCGTTTTGACAGATCAGTTTTTTGCTCTGTGGTTTGGGACACGCACGTTGAAACTTTAGTTGGAAACTTGAAGGCATAAAGTGACTTTTTACTAATTCAGCAAAGTTGCAGCTACTAAAAATAATTGGGTCGGAATCGGAAGGTAGGATAAAAATGCTAATTTTATGAGCTAAGTACTGACTCTACATTGAATGTTAAAATTTAATATTATCATAACGTCATGTTTTATACTTAGAGAAGACACCTTCGTTAGTAGGTAGGGTTATAAAAAATACCTAGGCATTTCTATTTTTATTTATGGAAAAACCACAGTAAAAAACTGTTAACCTTCAAAAGTAGTATTCTCAGAAAAATACTATTTTTAAGGTTATCTAAATCTACATATTTTAAATAGGTACTAGATTCTTTCTACCCGTGGCTTCACGTGTGTTTTGGTCTGACACAAAATTCCCACGCCACAAATTAACTAATTTGAATTTAACAAGATTTTTGTTAACTTACAATGTTCACATTTACCACCCACATTGAAAACATAGTTAGCAACCTAAAATCTTTCAACAATTAAAATTCTAAATCACGTAGGAGAGAGCAACGCGTAAACCGATAGCGCCGCGCTCTCTCTGAATTAAAAAATGTCCAAATAAAAAAAAAATTACATTGTTTTCTATATATACCTACCTTTACCTTATCTTATTTAATAAACATCACTACATAATATTAAAATTCTAAAATATTTTAAGCTCATTTAGCTAGGAGCAGTGCTTTAAGAAGTTAGACCATTCCATCGTCTGCTGCAAATCTGCCAAATGGTTTTTCACAATACCATCTCATAAGTGTACTTACTTCATAGTACTACTATACAGGGTGGAATTTTGTAATGCCACCTGGAGGGAAAGTACTCTTAATACTGTAGATAGAAAATTTTACTGAAAGAAAACATTCCTTTATTTTTGAAAAGAAAGAGAACTGCATTCAAAGATTTTCGATTTTTTTTCGAAAATTCACTACCATGCCATACAATTTTCTGTAAATAATTAAGATAATTTAAGATTTCATGGTTTTCCTTTCATTTGATTTAATAAGTTTGTTAGAGAGATTTCATCCTTATACTTAACCCTAACGATCGATGCAATAAAAATACAAGGTGTAATTTTTAACAGATTTTAGTTGGTTCGATTCCCGAGTGTAGCAAGCAATTTTTTTGAAATCTTTGAAAGCAGTTCTATTTCTTTTTAAAAATAAAGGAATGTTTTCTTTGAGAAAAATATTCTATCTACAATATTAAGAGTACTTTCCCTCCAGGTGGCTTTAGAAAATTCCACCCTGTATACCATGTACGGACAGATTTAAACATACATACCTACCTACTTACTAGAGCGGCTGCTCGCGACTTTGTAAGCGTGGAACCCGTTTTACCCCCTAAGGCGTTGAATTTTACCAAATCCCGTCCTAGTGAGCACTTACGTTCTAAAAGGAACCCCCATGCAAAATTTGAGACTCCTAGCACTTGTAGTTTCTGAGATTTCGTGATGAGTGAGTGAGTGAATCAGTGACCTCTCGCTTTTATAAACATTTGGCTACGTAACCCTAAAAATGGACATGGTAACCGATTTTAATCACAGAACTGTTGTAACGGAAACAAACAAACAGAATTTCGCATAATACCTATTAATTATGATAGATTATTTATAGTTATAGTGTTTGAATAGATCACATGTAGGTATCCATGTATTTATTGACGTCAGCCATTGATTTCCATTGTTCTCTTCACCTAATGATGAACCTAGATAGGTAAGTATTGAATGCAAATGGTTAACCTAAAAAATGGTTAAATACCTAAATGGATCAGTTTCATAAAGCACAGATAACTGAAAACTGCATTAATAAGTCAACTTTGAAGGATGTTAAAAACAATTTATTCCTTTTCTCTTTACCACCAGTAGAGCTTGAGGTCAACTCTACCACCTTTCTGACTTTTTACGTATACCTTACTATACAGTGTTACTATTTTTATATTATTCAAACGAAAAGGGTTAATTCTACTGCTCAAATGCAACAACTTTACCCCAGAGACTGAAGTGCCAATATTAAAAAAAATACAATATCAGTCATTTAGTATGGAAATATGAATTTTATTTTTATGAATTTGATATTGGTCCCTGAACGAAAAGTAGTTGCATTTGAACAGTAGAATTAACCCTTTTCATTTGATCAAGTATAAAAAACACCCTTTATAATGCGAAATATTCGGAACTTCTGATAACATTTGAGAGTTAACCCCGCTGTTTTTTCATCAATACTAAATACAAACCGCTCTAGTAACTCGGGACACGCGCCCAGTAATCGCTCCGGGCTGATTGATGATCCCTCCCCCCGGGACCCGTTTAGACCCGGGTGATCCATGGCCGCCAGATCTATTACCCAGCCGCATTACCGCGTTCATTGCTGAACTTTATTTTAATTTACTTATTGTTGAGTTGGCGCTGCAAAAGCGTCTAATCGTGGAGAAGTTTTTTTCTTTTCTCACCACTCTGCTTTCAGTCAAGAGATTGACTAAGATCGAAATTGTTCTTTCTGCTTATTGACATTATAGTAGGTAGTAAAATTAAATATTAATATTGTATTAGTTCCCATTTCCCAATTTTTTTACTTTACAGATTTTTTAGATCGTTTCTATTGTCCTGAAAACATGTGCAAGTAATAGGTAATAGCAAGTACTTATTATTATTCTGTGGTAATAGTAAAAAGTTAGTAGTAGGGTTAGTTAATAGATGGTGCAAATCTAGTTGATCTTAATCGATAGGTAGAGTCACGTCATAATACAACTAGCCAAATAAATGGTTATTCCACATTATTCCAAAGAAGTCTTGTACAGCAAGTATATTTTTCTAACATACCTACCTAAGTATAATAATTAGATTGAACATTGAACAGAGGTGGAATTGTGTAAAGCAATCGTAATCATTTGACAGTTCATAACGTACAATTATTCTGTCAAACGCTTTGTTTAACTGACTTTTTTTTTTTTTTTTTTCTTTTGTTTGGCTTTACACGGCTTGTGTGTTGCCATTCGTCGAGTAAAAACGGGGAAACGGTTAAGGAANGCTCTTAACTTACATTGTTCACATTTACCACCCACATTGAAAACATAGTTAGCAACCTAAAATCTTTCAACAATTAAAATTCTAAATCACGTAGGAGAGAACAACGCGTAAACCGATAGCGCCGCGCTCTCTCTGAAATTAAAAAATGCCCAAATAAAAAAAAACTTACATTGTTCTCTATATATACCTACCTTATCTTATTTATAAAACATCACTACATAATATTAAAATTCTAAAATATTTTAAGCTCATTTAGCTAGGAGCAGTGCTTTAAGAAGTTAGACCATTCCATCGCATCGTCTGCTGCAAATCTGCCAAATGGTTTTTCACAATACCATCTCATAAGTGTACTTACTTCATAGTACTACTATCTACCATGTACGGACAGATTTAAACATAAATACCTACCTACTTACTAGAGCGGCTGCTCGCGACTTTGTAAGCGTGGAACCCGTTTTACCCCCTAAGGCGTTGAATTTTACCAAATCCCGTCCTAGTGAGCACTTACGTTCTAAAAGGAACCCCCATGCAAAATTTGAGACTCCTAGCACTTGTAGTTTCTGAGATTTCGTGATGAGTGAGTGAGTGAATCAGTGACCTTTCGCTTTTATAAACATTTGGCTACGTAACCCTAAAAATGGGCATGGTAACCGATTTTAATCACAGAACTGTTGTAACGGAAACAAACAAACAGAATTTCGCATAATACCTATTAATTATGATAGATTATTTATAGTTATAGTGTTTGAATAGATCACATGTAGGTATCCATGTATTTATTGACGTCAGCCATTGATTTCCATTGTTCTCTTCACCTAATGATGAACCTAGATAGGTAAGTATTGAATGCAAATGGTTAACCTAAAAAATGGTTAAATACCTAAATGGATCCGTTTCATAAAGCACAGATAACTGAAAACTGCATTAATAAGTCAACTTTGAAGGATGTTACAAACAATTTATTCCTTTTCTCTTTACCACCAGTAGAGCTTGAGGTCAACTCTACCACCTTTCTGACTTTTTACGTACATACCTTACTATACAGTGTACTATTTTTATATTGTTCAAACGAAAAGGTTTGATTCTACTGCTCAAATGCAACAACTTTACCCCAGAGACTGAAGTGCCAATATTAAAAAAATTACAATATCAGTCATTTAGTTTGGAAATATAAATTTTATTTTTATGAATTTGATATTGGTCCCTGAACGAAAAGTAGTTGCATTTGAACAGTAGAATTAACCCTTTTCGTTTGATCAAGTATAAAAAACACCCTGTGTAATGCGAAGTATTCGGGACTTCTGACAACATTTAAGAGTTAAATCAGCTGTTGCTATTTCTTTTTTTTTAACAATACTAAATACAAACCGCTGTATGCCCTAACTCGGGGCACGCGCCCAGTAATCGCTCCGGGCTGATTGATGATCCCTCCCCCCGGGACCCGTTTAGACCCGGGTGATCCATGGCCGCCAGATCTATTACCCAGCCGCATTACCGCGTTCATTGCTGAACTTTATTTTAATTTACTTATTGTTGAGTTGGCGCTGCAAAAGCGTCTAATCGTGGAGAAGTTTAATTTTTATTTTCTTACCACTCTGCTTTTAGTCAGGAGATTGACTAAGATCAAAATTGTTCTTTCTGCTTATTGACATATAGTAGGTAGTAAAATTAAATATTAATATTGTATTAGTTCCCATTTCCCAATTTTTTTACTTTACAGATTTTTTAGATCGTTTCTATTGTCCTGAAAACATGTGCAAGTAATAGGTAATAGCAAGTACTTATTATTATTCTGTGGTAATAGTAAAAAGTTAGTAGTAGGGTTAGTTAATAGATGGTGCAAATCTAGTTGATCTTAATCGATAGGTAGAGTCATGTCATAATACAACTAGCCAAATAAATGGTTATTCCACATTATTCCAAATAAATCTTGTACAGCAAGTATCATCATCAACAGCCCTTTACAGTCCACTGCTGGACTATGAGCCTCCTCCACTGTAGTGGAGGGTTTTGCCATAATCCCCACGCTTGGCAGCAAGTATATTTTTCATTAATATTGTTTGTATAATAAATTAAATTGAACAGTTACTTTTAGTCTTACACCACGAAAACCCCCATAATAAGAGTATCAGTAAAGAAACGACATAAAAACGCTAACTACCCTTCGACGTCACCACCCTCCGCCAAATGATAAATTAACAATACTATTGAGTTAAGCACTTGTTGGGAAATTAAATTAAAGAGCTTTGTTGGCTAAGACCCTAGGATGATTTGCTACGTTGAATATACAATGGTTGTCAGCGCAGACATTTTTACATGTGTCGCAGGCCACAATTATTTAAGTGGAATAAACTTACGAGGGCAGGACACATAGTATGCAGAACTGACGGCCGATGGGGCAGCAAGGTTCTGGAATGGAGGCCGCGTACCGGAAAACGCAGTGTGGGACGTCCACCCACAAGGTGGACCGACGATAAAGGTAGCAGGAAGACGCTGGATGCAGGCCGTTACCAATTGGGGGAGGCCTATGTTCAGCAGTGGACGTCCTGTGGCTGAAATGTTGATGATGATGAAACTTACTCCTCTCGTGGGACATTTATATCTACGTATTTATTTATTTTATTTGGTGCACAAAATAGGGATACAACCATAACATACAGAGCGTTTAAAGCAGGTTATACAGTATTTATAAGTAAACTTGCGTTACTTACTACCATTCTCGTGGGACATGTAACTTATTAAAAATGTCTTTTTTTGACAAAACTTGTACCTAATTTTTCAATAATAGAAGTAGAGTAATAGAACTTAAGTACTCATATGATTGAAACTAAACTAAAAAAACTTCATAGCGCAGCTTCATCCTTCTGAGCAATGAATGCTCAGAAGGACATCATTTAGCTGATAGAGACACGAAGCTTAAAAGTTAATTCAAACTCAAGATACGGATCTATGATTGGTTGCATCTTTCATGTCAATGTTTTTTGAAAAATCAGTCAATTTTGAGCGTAGTGTATCATTTCCTAATGTCATAAAATTGAAAGCGCATTCTATAACTACATTATACAGTATTAATTTACTTTTCTTCTTTTTCAGACGTCCCCTTAACATTAACTAGCGTAGAAATTATATTCGTTATTTGTAGTTCGACTTGCTTATTGCATTCTGTGGCATTTCAAGTTTGCTAACATTAATGTGCGCTCGCGGTTTGCGCATGCGTTTAAGTATTTCCCAGTAATGTCCTGTCCCGTATAGGTGTGAATGAATGGTGCATAATGCGCAAAGCCACATAGGGCTTGAAAGCCTTATTCATACCTATTTTGTATGGACTTATGATGGGGAAAAGAAAAGAAATCACTTAATAATTCAGTCCAAAACTAGTTATTAACATTCAATCAATAATGAGAATGTGTTTCAGACAATTTAAAATTTAATTTAGTTTCGAGATCGTAATCGTTTCGCTAGGCCCTAAGTTTTCATAAAATCAATGATTTACCTATAAGTTATTATTGTCTACGGCTCTTAAGTTTACAAACATCCAGTGAAATGCACTGCAAAATTACATTTCAAATTGCTACTTTTTATTAAGCGTAAAGGATAGTGCCAGGGTCTGGACCAAGTGCTGCCCAGAATCAACCCATAGTGCTTTTTGTTCCTCAGGCCAATACAAACGTGTAAACCGAAGCGCACTGAAATCTATCCCTGGAGTTAAGAGAAAAAAAGAGTTTTGTTTTGAATTATTTACATACAAAATATCATCGATGTATACGTACTACGCATAAGATTTCGTGATTTTGGCATTAAATAACACTCGCTATGTTAAACTTAACCATACTGCATCCGTACACCTTACTTTAGTGCGACTTAGACATTCTTTATAAACGATCTAACGCTGTTGCAATAGTTTGGTTAGTTGACAGAAATCATTATTTTCAAAATGAAGCAAGAAGTTTTAGTTCTCTATCCTTGCGAAAAATCATTTATTGGTGTGTTACAATCGATAATTGAAGTTATTGTAAGCTAAAACTTCTTGTTGAATTTTGGAAATAATTAATTTCGGTCAACTAACTAAACTACTGAAACAGCGCTTGATCGCTTATAAATAATGTCGAAGTCCTACTAAAGTAAGGTGTACGGATGCAGTACGGTTAAGTTCAACATAGCGAGTGTTATTTAATGCCAAAATCGCGAAATCTTATGCGTAGTAGGTATACATCGATGATATTTTGTATGTAAATAATTCAAAACAAAACTCTTTTTTTCTCTTAACTCCAGGGATAGATTCCAGTGCGCTCCGGTTTACAAATTAGTATTGGCCTGAGGAATAAAAATATGCACTATAGTTTCATTCTGGGCAGCACTTGGTCCAACTTCCATACATGGATTGGCACTGTCCTTTCTTTGCATTCCCATTTATTGTGAGAATTTTCATACACATTCCTTCCTACAACATGGCAAAATGTTAAAAAACAACACTTTAAAGTCTAAGGAGCTTTCCGATTCAAAGCTTTTTTAAGAGCTTTCCAAATACGCATTTATTTACATTGCGAATCGCGTTTAACAAAATAAAACCACCAAAATGATTTTACCTTACTTTATTTAACATTAAAATAACGGTACATCTTTTGCATTCCTCTTTTTAAACCTAATTCGTTCATTTCGAATCGATTCCTCGTCGTTGGCCAACGGCGGGCTTAAAAATAAATGCTATTCATGATTCGATCGTAATATCGATAGTATATGGTCATGGGGTGACAAAACTGAAAGACTTATCTCAACATCAGGACATGGAAATCTTACAAAGCCTACGCAACTAAATCAGTCCATTCCAATTCACACAAAAGTCAAGATAAGTGGTAAAATTAAGGTTTTTAAATTTAGGGGGAAGTGACAATAGGGACGGTCTGCTCCCTTGGATGTTCCTGGACAGGCTCAGGTTGCTTCGCGGGTCCAGTTTTTGTGATGGGGACAATCCTTTCGCCAGCCATGGGAGGGGTCTTCTTGGGTGCTGAGATTGTCAGCACTCCGTCAGAAGACAGAGAGCTGATGACGTCCATCACGTCGTACCCTGAAGGTAAGATGTACCGGCGGGTGAATTGGCGAGAGATGAAGCCGTGCTCATCCTGTTTCTCCTCGTGCTTGCCTTCCACGATGATGGAGTTGTTGGAGGCTTTCACCGTGATCTCCTCAGGGGTGAACTGCTGGACGTCAAGGATGACCTGGAATGGGGAGACGAGTTCGGTTATTTTTTGGATAAATGTGAAATTTTTTCAGTTGTGTATAGAACTTATCCTACTAGTAATATTAAAAAGGTGAAATTTGTGTGGATGTTTGTTACTCTTTCACGCAAAAACTGCTGATTTTGTTGAAACTTTACAGTATTATTATTTGTAACCCAGATTAACATATAGGCTATAATTTATGCCAATCTGTGGCACTAAATTTAACGCGGGTGAAGCCGCGGGCAAAAGCTAGTAAATGCCTAGAAGTGAGAGTCAGTAAAGCAATCGATCTCTTAATACTCGTATTCTATGACTTACACAAGAGGTTGATACCTACTAGAAATACAATACCCAGAGTAAAGTCGTTTTTTAGATTCTAAGTATAACTATTGAATGTCAGAGGTGCATTCTTAAAAAAATGACTTTTATTTATTATTCTTGTTGTCAAGTGCTAAACTTGATTTTAATTTACATTTTAACTTTGGTATTATTGTGTAAGTACCTGCCTATCTATAGCTTCTTCTTGTTAAAGAAGCATTCAGCTTTAGATATGCGAAAACGTGTTAATGGTTACATTAGAAGTTTATTTTATTGTTTGTCTAAGTATAAGATTCTTTAAACTGCATGTTTTCAAAATTATTAGGTAAGTACTTGATGTACTGGACTCAGAAATCTGATTGAATATACGAGTAGGTATTATGTACAAAGAAAGAGTGAAAAGATCTGTATCTACTGCTACATTATGCACTTTTTGGAATTTCTTATATAAATCATTCATTCCATTCAAATAGAGAGTCAACTATTTTAGACAAATAAAACGACCAAAACTTTATGAAAGACCTAAAGAGGATTAAATAAAGATGTAGACCCATTGACTTGCCCCATCAATTGGGATTGTATTCCCCATCCATTGAGTTGCAATGTAGATATCTTTACGAATTGTATAGTAGTCCTCGTTTTATGCAATACTNCAGTCGTTTTTTTAGATTCTAAATCTAACTATTTACTCGTAATGTTAGATGTGCATTCTTAAAAAATGACTTTTAATGTTATTTGTTGTCAAGTGCTAAACTTCATTTTAATTTAAACTTTGGTCTGCTAACTGTTTTTGGTTTTAATTTTACTGAATCGTTTGTCTATGTAATTTTCATTGTCATTAAAATGTAGAGTATACTGCTTCAATTCATTTCAGACAAGATCATTCAAAATTTCAGGATATAGAGATCTTTTAGAATCGGAATTTAGTCATCACAAGTGTTCTGAGAGACTTGAGTCCTGCAGTCCTATAGACTCGCGAGATAAGTAAGTCTTAGTCAAGCAAAATAGCTCGAGTCTCGAATTTAAGACCAAAGAACTCAACTTTTACAACACTAAACATCACAATTTATCTTAAAACAACATCATAGAACAAATAAATGCACCTCCTAACAAACTACAAAGAAGTGATAGTATTTCAATACCTCAAACTTATCCTTGGTAAGGTTGATGGTCGACGCAGACTCCTGCCTGGTCAGGTTGGTCCTCCACGGCCTGAAGTAGGAGTTCCTGAACAGGGAACTGGTGGGCACCGACAGGGAGGACAGCAGGTCGTCCCTGCGGAGGCCCATGCCGAAGTGCTGGTCCAGGAGGCGCGAGGGACGCTCCCACTCGTCCCACCAGTCACGGAACATTAGGGGGACTATCGACATCTGGAAGTTGGAAAAATAGGGCAATGAGTATCAAGTAACATAGTCCGTGCTAGTAATGCCAGTAGTAGTGGCAAAATGGCAGTCGCATAAATAGTATAAAGCCGACTAACATTCGACGAATAATCTTGTTTATTTAGTGATGAGAGTAAAACAGTGAATGAATTATTATGAGATCAATGCTCTATAGAAAATTGGTAATCTCATATTTAAATCGACGACACTGAATAGTGTGAGTAAATCTATGATTTGCAAAGGGAATAAACTATGCAGAGATCAATGGTTTTTATGTAAGGTAGAGACTGTTTCATTCAGAAGATCATAATAAAATCGTGTTAGGTTCACTTCACTATAGAGTTCTCTTAGAAAGCTGGATATTACGTAGGTATTCAGTCGTATGCTAAATGAACTCTAAACAAACAAACTACAGTGTAGCAAAAATAGATTAGATCGTCAACATTGTCCACATTTAGCTGCAAATGAGATAAACAGCGCATTTTCAATGCGAAGATATTTCGGGAACGGGAAAGCTGTAACTCCAGTAGTAGGCGTTCCTACACAGTGCTATACTTCCAATCCAAATTGGGACTCCACATTGTGATTGAAATCTACTAAAATTTACTACCTACTTGATTGATTGTTATAGTCAAAGGCAATTTGGTAGCATATTTTCAATAGGTTCGTTAACGAAATTGTTTACTGGATACCTAAGTCAATATTTTTTATTACTTTTATGAATGAATAAAAAAAATAGGTACGAGCGCGTTGATACATACTAGTTGCAATATGACAAGATCATCTACACTAATCTACACTAATATTATAAAGAGGAAAACTTTGTTTGTTTGGTTGTAATGAATAGGCTCAAAAACTACTGGACCGTTTTTAAAAATTCTTTCACCATTTGAAAGCTACATTATCCACGAGTAACATAGGCTAAATTTTATTTTGGAAAAAAATAGGGTTCCGTAAAATATGTAGACAATGTAGGCCACGCGCGCGAAGCCGCGGGCGGAAAGCTAGTTCTAAATAAATACCATCTGAGATACGTATTGACTTATAAGTTCCCGTAGTTCATACTCAGAGGGTACTAAAGCCAGCCGACAAATTAGGACATAATAGACTAGAAGTAAAACTAGCTGAATAAAAACAGCGTTTCTCGAAGAGCTGTATGAAAACGTAGCGCCCCGTAGCGCTGCATCGCTGGACCATCAGATTTATCGTCCCATATAGCTAGATCCGAAATATTGCTCGGATTGTTCTGGAACGAAACCATCAGTGATTCACCTGGACGGTTTTAGCTGTGATGCAACTACGAACTGAATTTCTCACGCTATGATCAAGCAACTCCAATATGAGATGAACCGAGTTATTTTTGGACGATCTGTTTATTTACACAACGCCTTGAAAGTGTGTTTATTTATAGGATTATTGGAATTGCAGATATTCGATTCTGCAAGTGAATGGAGGGTTTTAAATAACTACGATAAAGATGAAAGTAGAGTCGATTTCTTCCAATTTAAAGTTGCACAGAAAACATTTATGTGATGAAAAACATGCAAACATGTTTGTTTTGATCAAAACTGATAACAATCTTACTGTTTTTATGAAAGTTATGGTAAAATAGAAGTATCTTCTTAACTGTTATTAGAGTAAGAACGTAAATGAGGTAAATGTGAAGCGAAGTAAACAAACAATTGGCAAATAGATGAATGATTCTCAAAAGCCAAACCGCGAAAATTTCTTCGTTTATTTTAAACTCCTTTAAGTAATAGTTTACTAAACTAACCTAACGAAAACCAATTCCAATTTAACGATAAGCAAATTACGGTTAATTTACCTTTGCGGTTGTATTCGTTGCAGGCGCGCGCACTGCGAGTGACTGCTGTTCGTACTGGCGCTCCTGAATCCCGAGACTGTTTTAAATAGAACAGCTCCCACTCGCGCTGACTCATCAGCACACCTTGAACTTGCCTGTTGGTGTGGTGGCCACTACTCATCGCTGTGTTAAAGACAATTAGAGACTGTCTTGACTATAAGTTTGGACATCCGTTGCTCTTTGCCCATCAATCTAGTATCGGGCAATTAAGAAATTACTTAGGGCATCACCTCTTAGGGGGTACAAAAAAAGAGCATGAAAAAATATTTGGTAGCCCATAAATTTATTTTACACGAATTTAAGACCCTTAAAAGTCGATCGCATTTCAACATGATAAATTATGTGAATCCATAGGCATACAAATGTGGATTTCTTAGGGCATCTTAATCCGGCACTACTCCCTGCCCCAGCTCGTCCAGCCACAATCCAGTAAAGATAATATCATAATAATATCAACCAGGGATCAAATCACAGGTCTACTAAATTACATAAAATATTATTCACTATGCTACTTAGTACGGAACTAGAGAAACAGGTCATTTTGTATGTAAATCTCTGATAAGAATGGAAGTCATCATAATTATTTAGGTGGAAGTTTGTTTTTGCAAATGTGTAGGTCCCTAAAGAAGAAAGGAACTTATCCCATTTTCAGCAAAATTTGTGGACACATTAACAATGATAAAGCCGGCAAAACAAACTGATGATTATTTTGGCTGATCATTTTAAAATCGTGGGTGTGTTCGAGAACAATTACTCGTATCATCACCAAGAGTAAAATTGTTTCAATAGACTCATCAACATCATGCTGGGGGTGGAGAAATTTTTCAAATTCCATTAACATTGCGATGGATGTAGACTATCATTATTATAGGTAAAATGTGCACCCAAGTAGGTAGAGGTGTGGCTTAGAATTAACCAATAAATTAATTAAATTAAAAAAAATAAAAATTCTTTATTGACAAAAAGTTTTATACAATACTAATAGCGGAGGCTTACAATAATAAGAAAATAGAGTGGAAATTATTTAATTGGTCTTAGTTGTATTTGGTTAATTATTGATTAAAATTTATGTAATTTTTTCCTCCACTCAGGTATTTTGTGCTATTTACTAGCTATGCACTTCTTTGGTATGTTACCTTATAATTTTAGCTCTTTTTTTTACAAAATATTTTTGCATGTCCGTTTCAAACTGCATTAAAGTTTTCATAGGTACTCCTATAAAAATATTGTTAAGCATTTTCTATAAGTAAAATATGCAAAATATTTGTAACTAGCTTTCCGCCCGCGGCTTCGCGCGCGTGGACCCCTGAACTCTATTTTTTTTTTTTCAAAATAAAATTTTGCCTATGTTACTCGTGGATAATGTAGCTTTCGCATGGTGAAAGAATTTTTAAAAACGGTCCAGTAGTTTTTGAGCCTATTCATTACAACCAAACAAACAAACAAAGTTTTCCTCTTTATAATATTAGTGTAGATATCCACAATATCGTCAATCGTTCTACACTCATCAAGTGCGTTCATTCATGTACCACGCAAGTGTGACGTGTTAATTTATTACGTAACAAAGAATTCGTATCTCCCGACACTCGACCTACACGTTAGGTATTTAATGCATAGTAGTGGCCAAAACTAAATTCTATAAGTATTTGTAATACCGCAAAATGAATATGATGAACACATGATGAACATTGTATGATTATGTGCAGCCTAGTGTGCAGCGTTACCAACGTTTCGTCAGCAGAGATGTCTGGTGAAGTTTGTTCCTACCTTCTATCCTAAGTTATTTTGTTTCAACTTTCTTTGGCGCCATAGCTTGGCGATAAAAGACTCTTTGATACAGGTGGGCGGCAAAAAAGAATGTATAGTACCCTATTAGCCGCTAATGCAATCACAAGCGGAGCGCTTGGAACAGTAGGACATAATATATTTTGTTTTGAAAATAAAGAAAGCATTTTGTATATGTATTTTTATTGATTGGATATTTTGTCTTCCATAGAAAACCGTGGTGTTGAAAAGGTTTAAATTATTTGTGACCAAAATGAAAAGGTAACTAAACGCAAAAGTCATGTACTAACTAAACGCAAAACTTTGACATTTTTGACATTGATTGATGACGTCATGCAATTTGCAAAACGCAAATGTCAAATCCAGTGTTGCCAGAAGGTTACTTTTGTAACCTTTTAGGTTACTTTTGAACTGCTGTGGTTACTTTTAGGTTACACTAATGAAAAGGTTACTTTTAGGTGATTTTTCAGAAATTGTAGAATTAACTTTACAGGTTATTCAGTAAAAAATATTAATAGTAACAATTTAAAAATTATGTCATAAAGTGCATTTAAAATTGAATTTGATTTATTATTTGTTAAAAAAAATGAGTTTTAGCGAATGTTTTTCGATAATAAAACGCAAATCCATGAAACGTTTTTATACGACTGGTCACTTTTCGAATTTAGATGATCAATTGTATTCATTTTCCTAACCTNCGGTCACTTTTCGGTCTTCATGGAATGGTCAAAATTTCGAATTTAGGTAAACATGAACCATCCATGAACAACCTTACACAATCGCTCCGCACCCCCCCGTATGAAGGTTACTTTTTATTCAAAAAGGTTACTTTTTTTTATATTTCTGGTAATTTCTGACTAGACCCGACTGGCAACACTGGTCAAATCTCATTCGGCAATGGTGCATGGTTGGTGTTTGTTTAGTTTTATATTTCTATTTCCCGAAATGTATAATTCTGTATTGCTGTGTAATTCTCACCTTTCTTGTGATTAACAATTTTAGATATTACATGGCAGTGTAAGAATTTTGTAAGTTCTATTCTACGCACCGAGTGATCGAGTAAGACATTATCGATCGAGTGTTTGCTAAAATAACCGGCGATTATCATCAAATAATCATTCAGACTGCTGCTTGAAATCCTTGAATTGGCGTTGCACAATGTGGTATCGACCGGAGGGAAGACTGGCTACTTGCTAGAGGCTATTAAATAGGCGTTCTTCAATCGAACGCAGTCCTATCGTATTTTTTCTAAGCTAGAAAAACTCCGAGGACAAACATGTTGGGGTGGCACAAACATAGATGGATCGCCTTATGCCTACTTTTTTTGTCTCTGGGATCACATCTACTATTCCTGTATGGATTTTTCCCGCTAAAATACCACTCAGGAAAACTGGCCCATATGGATGATTTGCCCAACTTCATTCATGAAGTCAGGTTAGTAAAAAGGTTTTAATTAACTTATAAAATAAAAAATATACTATCTGACCTTATTAATAAATGCATCTTATTGATGAAAATCTCAATCATTTGTAATTCTAAACACCTTTGTATAATAATACAGAGTAATAAAAGTACAAATTTTGAAATAATTTTTATTTCTTATAGATATAGCATATAATTATTTGCCTTTAGACAACATAAAACACTTGGCAGTTTATTGAGTGTTATCAATCATACTCAAGTCAAATTATGTAGCGAATAAATTTTATATCAGGCAATTAATTAATTTTTATTGTTATAATTTCACGGATGTACGACTTGATTTCCTAATAGAGTTTTATAACTTGTATAATGCTGTTGAGTAATTTGTGAGTGTATAATTTGATAAATTGGCCTTTTACGTTTTATAGTATTGACGGTCAAGAAGTTTACAACCCCGGTGAGCATACTGTGGTGCTGATGGTGATAGACAGCCTTCGTTATGACTTCGTGACAGAGGAATACATGCCGTATACCGCACAACTCTTGAAGAACAAGTCTGCTTGCATTTATGTGTCTATCGCTGAACCACCTACGGTCACTATGCCACGGATTAAGGTAAATGATACAGTTTTTAGCATGCAAGGAACTTGAGATTTCTTTCTTTTTTAAACCAGATAAAGTTAATGACAAAACCCCCATTGAAAACTATGAGATTGGTTTGGAAGGTGCTGGCTTTAAAATGAGACACTGCTTTGGAAATTTAAGGATTTTTCACACATAAATACTTTTTCCATTCTTTACTATAGGTACATACATGCAAAGTCTAATAGTGATTAATGTTTATGTGCAATAGAAGTAACTGTGAATCTGTTTTTGCAATCTACTGCCTTTTGTTAGATTTCGCATTCATTAATCAGGCAATATTACTTTTTAATAGTAACTTTAACATTTTTTTATCAATACATATTAAAGCACTCAATAGACAGCTTTTTTCTGTTTTCAATTACAGTACCAAAGAAATTTAGATATTCACTTATGATACTCCATTCCAATAAAATTAATATGATTCAAACACTTACAATATCCTTGTTGTGTACAGTCACCGGAGAGGAAAATCCTAAGGGCACAGTGGAGACGCACCATAAACTTCTGGCGGAAAATATTCGCAAGTGTCACTTTTTGTATTTTTACACTTACGCTTGTACTTGGTAATGGGCTAAAGAAAAAACCAATTGGGTAGTTGACACTACTAACAAATAATTCCAAAATACAATATTAAAATGACATGAATGATTGAGTACTGAGTCTTTAAAAGTTAAAGTATGATTTTTAGTACTTTTTAGCCTTGGCAAAAAAGTGACTTAGCTTTTAAAAAATTGACAATAGACTGGTGGTGGTGTCAAGTACCCAGTTATTATTAATGTTGTGTTTAAAATGTATGGATGATGGCACATCAGGGTAAACGCTGTATTAGTTATCACTTCTTTTTTATGTAATTGAAATAAAAGATATTTTTGGACAACATTGTATAGTCTGATGTGCTGTTGACATGTTCATTCATATTTTAGTTTTTTCTTTGGTATTGTGCTTGAAAATATCTATGTATAATGTGTGTTTTGCTTGCGCATTTTAATAAAATAATCTGTCTTATTTGTTATAATAATGACTGATGGAAATTGAGAAATAAACGCGCCAATGTTCAAAAGAAGAGGCCCATGACGTCAAGGCGTGCTAAAAAGTGTAGCATTTTGTGACGTCACGCGAAAGTTCAACGCATCATAACTTCGTATTACTTATTTGATTGACAAATATTTTTTGATAATGTAATTGACGGTCCAAAAGTTTTTCTAGGAAACTAGCCTAATCTGAGCCTAGCAGAGTTACTATGCGGATAGTTATCGGTGACTTGTTAACCAACATTTATAGCTAGAGATTAGATTACTGATTTCAATGATACTGGCTAGATTGTGTAGCAGAATTGCTACTTATGTCAGTGGGTCTATTCCCCATGACGATAACAATAATATTGGGTATAGCTCTCTCTTTTATTCGCGTCGGCAAATTAGAATATCTGAGTGAGAGGATAGAACCGAAGATATCGATATTGATTTGCGAAATAAGACTTTATAGTAACGTGGGAGGGAAGAGGGTGCACGCATGCGTAAACATTGCACATTAGGTATGCGCTTCGGTAGAGCGCAATAATACTGAGGAAACGGATTGTAACCGCCTCGCATACTACATAATAATAAACAATGTTGTTGATTTTGAGCATTTAACTTATTGTTGTAATCGGCGTTACGACTATTAATTTAATTGAGTTTAGGGTTTATTTAACAAGCTGTTTTATGTAGTTCACTCATGTATTACGCGATTTGTTGTCTTACTTAGATGGAAGTTAAATAAATCTACTAGTGTTTTATTTGCCACGCTTAATAAAATTAATACTCATAACTGAAAAAACTATCGCCATATCGCCAAAATGCATGCATGCTTGCTGCCGTTCTAATCATTAAATTGCCAGCTTGTGTATTGTTTTATAGTTGTGTAATTAATTTCTGAATTAACACAATTGAAAATGTGAATTTTAATGGTTTCTCTGGGATATTTGTTGCTTAACTAATGAAATTACTTTGGTTTATTTGGTAGATTTTTACCCCCTTTTTCATAAAACCATTTTAGTTATTTATTATTTTCAAATGTTAATTCACTATGGTCATTATAGGACATTTCTTAGCCCAAAGGTTTACTAGCAGAGAATTCCTTACGCCTTCACTACCACACCAATCTATGTGGCATTAAAAAATAAATACCTGCTTGGTTACTGAAAATTCAGGCTTCTAGTTTTATCCACAACTATTTTATAGGGGATCGAAAATTAGTTGAACTGTTTCGAGAAAAACTACGGCCGTTTTTGCTTGACTTGGCAATTGCATTGCCGTGCCCCAGATAGATGTATTTCTACAACTGTCAATTGTCCTTCAGGCCATGATGACAGGCAGCGTTTCAACGTTCGCTGACGTGGCTCTCAACTTCGGAGCGCCCGCGGTCCGTGGGGACAGCGTGTTGCGAGTCGCTGCCTCTAGGGGCCGCCGTTCCATCATGTACGGCGATGACACGTGGTTGAGGCTGTTCCCTGGCCTGTGGTCGGAGTCTGACGGGACCACTTCGTTCTACGTCACGGATTATACTGAAGTAAGATTTGTTATGTCGTCATCATTTCAGATGTTACTGCTACGTAAGGCTTAGCTGACGATGCTAGAGGTTTATGTTACGTTGCTACGTGCTCACACCGAACGACGTGACAGTGACAGAAACATTTTGTCACCTCCATACATCTCCATGGACTTGGTGTGAGTGACGAAAGAGTTACGGCGACAAAAGTCACTTGTGCGCGCGCTCCCTTAGTGGCGTCTTAGGAGAAAGCACCTCCTCATCTTAAAATATTCTAACTATAATACTGTATGCATATAATATGTATGATCACTTTACATAATATCACCTAGCCGTGCCCCTCAAAATTTCTGTCAAGTCCACTGTTTTATTGGAAAAGTCCAGGCATCATATCAGCCAAGAATTAGCCATAATTTGGTGCAATAAAGCCCTAATTATTTATCACTTTTGAGCTACTACTTCAAATAGCACTTCTTCCAATATTTCAGGTGGACAACAACGTCACCAGGCACTTAGACAAGGTTCTCACCCCAGACGAGAAGAACAAGCCAACGTTCGACTTCTTGGTCCTCCACTACCTAGGTCTAGACCACATTGGTCACCTGCAAGGAGCCCGTAGCCCGCAGATAAAGCCCAAACTGCTGGAAATGGATGAGGTGGTGAAGAAAATTTTTACTGCTATGGAGAAATGGGTGAGTGAAACTTGAATGTGTTTGTCCCGCGTGGATATGATAGGAAAGTTCATTGCAATAAACCACTAATAATTTAATGTTTAGTGCGCTCCGGTTTACACATTAGTATTGGCATGAGGAACAAAATGCACTATGGGTTGATTCTGGGCAGCTCTTGGTCCAGACCCTGGCACTATCCTTTACAGTTAATTGATTGGAAACTAATAACACTTTGCTAATTGTGCTTTGCAAAGGGTAGTGAACATTAATCAGTTGACATACTTTTAGACACAGATTTTTTGTGTACTATGACCATAATTTGAAAAATTAATTCGGTTTTCAGGGCTCAGGCAAGTGTGTTTTTTAAGAAGCTGGTATCTTAGAAGATACTAGAGTAGACGTACGACGACGAAAGTTAAGACTAGAGTCTTAGGGTTGATTTTTCAATCGTCAGATATCTTTTAACTGAAGAATAAACTTGGCTATTGAAAAATCAGGCCTTAGAATTATTAGTTACATATTGGTGTTGCAATATTATTGATTGACGGTGTCAAATATCTAACTTATTATGTTTTTCCAGGATCGCCACGGAGTCTTGTTCATATGTGGTGACCATGGTATGAGAGATGCAGGCGGCCACGGCGGCGCCTCGCCCGCTGAAGTACTAGTGCCGCTGGTTGTAGCCAAGAGTGCCGACTTCCAGTGCCCGCACGCGTGAGTAGACTTTATTAGTATAGGCATTAGGTCGAGAATAGACCACGCATGCGCGAGGTACTAGTGCCGCGGGTTGTAGCCAAGAGCGCAGACTTCCAGTGCCCGCACGCGTTAGTAAACCTTATTAGTATGGGCATTAGGTTGAGAATAGACCACGCATACGCGAGGTACTGCTGTCTCTTGTAGTAGTCAAGAGCGCAGACTTCCAGTGCCCGCACGCGTGAGTAGACCTTATTTGTATAGGCATTAGGTTGAAATTAGACCACGCATGCGCGAGGTTCTGGTGCCGCGGGTTGTAGCCAAGAGCGCAGACTTCCAGTGCCAGCACGCGTGAGTGATGTTGGACTTTATTAGTATAGGCATTAGGTTGAGGTAGTATAGGCCATAGAGTACCATAGATAAAATCCAGGCTAGGTTAGGTCCAAGTCCCACGGTGGCACAAGTGGACCTGGCGAGATACGAGGCAAAACCTGTACCTGCTACACGCGGACTACCGCGACTACGCTTATAACTTTAGAGATCGCGCTGATTCCGAATAGTGTCACAACTTTCTTGTCTTTTTCTCTCTCGTTACTGGCTAGTCTCCTATTGCTATTTAGGACAACTGTGTCCAAAACACTAGTGGGGTCTATGCCCATAGTCACCCATGGAAAACACAATCCTTTCTTTGGAGGAAGTGTTCTATTACTTCATTTGTAGGATTCACTAGTTAACAGAGCCACTCCTTTTCTCTCAGGTTGGGTCCAGGTCCCCAGGTCCAACATAGTCCCACAGTACGACAGTCCCGGGTCCCGCGCTACTGCCGCGCGCGGGACACCCGTCAACACCTGTACCTTCTGCACACGGTGGCAGCTCATAACTTTAGAGATCACGTTCATTGCATAGTGTCGCATCTTTCCTTGTCTTTTTCTCCCTCCATCTCTCGTTATTGGCAGGTTCCATATTGCTGACATACTTCAAGCATAGCACCTGTAAGGTCCGTGCTGATTCCGAATAGGATCGCTTCTTTTTTTCTTAATTTTCTCCCTCCCTCATTCTTGCACTGGCTGGTCTTCATTGCTGTAGGTATTCCAGGATTTTCAAGTAGAGTGCCTGTGATTGAATATGGTTCATCTCTTGCTGTCTATAGCCCATAAAAACGGTTATATTCTTTTGAGACTCGCTCTTATTATCTTAATTTTCTTTCTTAGGCTGGGCCCAGGCCCTACCGTAGCTCAAGTAGACCTGGCGCCCACCATCGCTTGGCTTCTCAACGCGCCGGTGCCGGGTGACAGCGCAGGCCGAGTTTTGCCAGCACTTTTACCGCGGGACACCCGACAACATTTGTACCTACTGCACACGGTGGCAATGCATACCTTTAGAGACACGATGATTTCAAATAATGTTGCATCTTTCTTTGTCATTTTCTCTCTCCATCTCTCTCGTTACAGGCCGGTTTTATATTGCTGACATACTTCAAGCATAACACCTGTAAGGTCTGTGCTGATTCCGAATAGGATCGCTTCTTTTTTTCTTAATTTTCTCCCTCCCTCATTCTTGCACTGGCCGGTCTTCATTGCTGTAGGTATTCCAGGATTTTCAAATAGAGTGCCTGTGATTGAATAAGGTTCATCTCTTGCTGTCTATAGCCCATAAAAAACGGTAATATTTTTTGAGACTCGCTCTTATTATCTTCATTTTCTTTCTTAGGCTGGGCCCAGGACCTACCGTAGCTCAAGTAGACCTGGCGCCCACCATTGCTTGGCTTCTCAACGCGCCGGTGCCGGGAGACAGCGCAGGCCGAGTTTTGCCAGCACTTTTACCGCGGGACACCCGTCAACATTTGTACCTACTTCATACGGTGGCCGGTCATACCTTTAGAGATCGCGATGATTTCGAATAATTTCGCATCTTTTTTTGTCTTTTTCTCTCCCCATCTCTCTCGTTACAGGCAGGATCCATGTTGATGATGAATAGTATCGCACCTTTGTTGCTAACATGTTCTTCCTTACTCGTATTGGCTTGTGTCCCATTCCTGATATATTCCGCGTAGAGCGCCACCTCCCGTGAAGTTATCTGTTGCGGTCTATAGAAAAGACGGTCCTATCTTTGGAGAATGCTTCTTATTACATTATTTAAAGTATCTAGTAGCTCACACAACCACCTTATTCCTCCTACAGACTGGGTCCGGGCCCTACCGTAGCTCAAGTGGACCTGGCGCCCACCATCGCTTGGCTTCTCAACGCGCCGGTGCCGGGCGACAGCGCAGGCCGAGTTTTGCCAGCACTTTTACCGCGGGACACCCGTCAACATTTGTACCTACTTCATACGGTGGCCGCTCATACATTTAGAGATCGCGATGATTTCGAATAATGTCGCATCTTTCTTTGTCTTTTTCTCTCTCCATCTCTCTCGTTACAGGCTGGTTTTATATTGCTGACATACTTCAAGCATAGCACCTGTAAGGTCCGTGCTGATTCCGAATAGGATCGCTCCTTTCTTTCTGTAATTTTCTCTCTCCCTCATTCTTGCACTGGCCGGTCTTCATTGCTGTAGGTATTCCAGGATTTTTAAGTAGAGTGCCTGTGATTGAATAAGGTTCATCTCTTGCTGTCTATAGCCCATAAAAAACGGTAATATTTTTTGAGACTCGCTCTTATTATCTTCATTTTCTTTCTTAGGCTGGGCCCAGGCCCTACCGTAGCTCAAGTGGACCTGGCGCCGACCATCGCTTGGCTTCTAAACGCTCCGGTGCCGGGAGACAGCGCAGGCCGAGTTTTGCCAGCACTTTTACCGCGGGACACCCGTCAACATTTGTACCTACTTCATACGGTGGCCGCTCATAACGCGAAGCAACCCGACTTGCCTAAGGATACAGGTAAATACCACAGTACCACAGAATAATAATATGTACTACATAAAGAAAGTTTTCTTCGTGAAGGTATTTAAGAAAAGTCTACTGAATTTCGTCGACAATAGGGTGTAATTTAGCTTCTCTTAGAGACGAGCACCCTTTCGTTTACTTACATACGTCAGTGATCGGTACTGTGCCGTTGCGATAGAGCTAAGCTACAATAATGAGGGCTATCGTTTTTATAATTAACAGTTGGCACCTCTGGCGATTGACAGGACCTTACTCTACAGTGGCGCCATCTTGATGAGTGCAAATGCGATAGTCCTCCTCACTTTAGCGCTCACCAGATGGTGCCACTGTCTTCGCTACTAGCAAGTGACAGGACCTTACTCTACAGGGGCGCTAACTGGTGAGCGCTAAAACGATAGCCCTCATTAATGTAGCTTGCCCACTGCCCACATAATGATGTGATTGTTATTCTAACAGCAGGTCATTTAAAGGGCACTCAAACTGAATTTACATCCTTTAGTAAACCACAGCTTAAAAAAATGTCTAATATTATGGCCCTAAAACAGTTAGTTTTAAGCTGTAAAATTCCACTGTAGTACATAGCTAACAAATAAATAAAAAACAACAGAGTTCGCAGTAAAGTTAAGCATCATCAAGGTATCAACGTTTTAAATTTTTAATTTTTTTCTTCGTAGAATTCTACAGGCAATTCCAGCGTGCCGAGAAACAGTTTGCTCAATTCTTGGCTACCGGCCAGCAAAGCGCTGCCAAGATCGCCAAGGAGTTCTACGACGAGTCCTTGGCAGAGATGGCCAAGCACCTCACTGAGACCACCGTGGAGTTCGACTTGTTCGCGCTAGGTGTAGCCTGCTTACTTCTATATGTGGTAAGTAATTTTCGTCAATTCATTCAAATAACGGGTTTCTCAATCAAACTTTTGTTTAATGTGTAAGGTTCAATATTGAAACAGAAACATATAAACCATTTTTGAAAGATCAACATCCTTTCCTATCAGTATTTTATTACATCTTAGTCAACATATCAGCTTTATAATATTTTAAACTTTTATGTTGCATTTTCTATAAAAATCCCGTAACAGTGATAATTTATAGCATATCAGCTTATACATTATCGTTAATTACAAATAGCAGCTGTTACAAATACCTGTTGGCATCATATGCACTACTTTGCATCAAAAATGTGTGTCTGATTTGCTGTCGACATTCTTTATTACCATACAGTTGTTACATTGATGCCTACTATTGCCTGTACTCTTCTTAAATTAGAAAACTTAGAAACCTTATTACATTTCTTTCTACACAGATCTCAGCGACTCTGCTCGGCGTCTCCCTCTACTCTCTCCAGCCAGCTGAGCCCAAGATCAGCGGTATCTACTGCTACAAGCCTTCCAAAATCGGCGTGGCCCTCGCATTCTTGGTCCTGGCAGCAATGAGCCTATTCATGCTCACCGCGTCTTGCTTCATCTCAGAGACCAAGAGCCGGATATGCTCCTTCGAGCCCTGGTGGACCGTCGCCTTCGTCCTCATAGGCCTGGTCTTCGCACTAGTATACGTCATCGCCAAATCCACTATAGAATACACTACCGATGCGTCAGTACTGAAAGAACTCAATGTCATTGACTACCTTCTGATCGGCGGATCGTGCATGGTTGGTGTTTGTTTAGTTTTATATTTCTATTTCCCGAAATGTATAATTCTGTATTGCTGTGTAATTCTCACCTTTCTTGTGATTAACAATTTTAGATATTACATGGCAGTGTAAGAAATTTGTAAGTTCTACGCACCGAGTGACCGAGTTGGACATTATCGATCGAGTGTTTGCTAAAATAACCGGCGATTATCATCAAATAATCATTCAGACTGCTGCTTGAAATCCTTGAATTGGCGTTGCACAATGTGGTATCGACCGGAGGGAAGACTGGCTACTTGCTAGAGGCTATTAAATAGGCGTTCTTCAATCGAACGCAGTCCTATCGTATTTTTTCTAAGCTAGAAAAACTCCGAGGACAATCATGTTGGGGTGGCACAAACATAGATGGATCGCCTTATGCCTACTTTTTTTGGCTCTGGGATCACATCTGCTATTCCTGTATGGATTTTTCCCGCTAAAATACCATTCAGGAAAGCTGGCCCATATGGACGATTTGCCCAACTTCATTCATGAAGTCAGGTCAGTAAAAATATTTCAATTAACTTATACTATCTGACTGATTAAGCATTATAATAATGAAAATTTCAATTTATTTTCACTCCTTTACTTTATATTACGGAGTGAAAAAAGTATAAGTTTTAAAACAAAAATGTGTATAATTATTTTCTTATAGACAACATAAAACTCTTGGCAGTTTATTGAGTGTAATCAATCATACTCAAGTCAAATTATGTTTCGAATTAATTTTATATCAGGCAATTAATTAATTTTTATTGTTATAATTTCATGGATGAACGATTTGATTTCCTAATAGAGTTTTATAACTTGTAAAATGCTGTTGTAGTAATTGGTGAGTGGATAATTTACTAAATGCCATTTACGTTTTTATAGTATTGACGGTCAAGAAGTTTACAACCCCGGTGAGCATACTGTGGTCCTGATGGTGATAGACAGCCTTCGGTATGACTTCGTCACAGAGGAATACATGCCGTATACCGCACAACTCTTGAAGAACAAGTCAGCTTGCATTTATGTGTCTATCGCTGAACCACCTACGGTCACTATGCCACGGATTAAGGTAAATAATACACATTTTAGCATGCAAGAAACTTGAGATTTCTTTCTTTTTTAAACCAGATAAAGTTAATGACAAAACCCCCATTGAAAACTATGAGATTGGTTTGGAAGGTGCTGGCTTCAGAAACAGACACTGCTTTGGAAATTTGAAGGATTTTCACACAGATAAATACTTTTTCCATTCTTTACTATACATGCTAAAACCTAATGATGATAAATGTTTATGTGCAATAACAGTGAATCTGTTTTTGCAATCTACTGCCTTTTGTTAGATTTCGCATTCATTAATCAGACAATATTACTTTTTAATAGTAACTTTAACTTCTTTTATCAATACATATTAAAGCACTCAATGGACAGCTTTTTTCTGTTTTCAATTACAGTACCAAAGAAATTTAGATATTCACTTATGATACACCGTTCCAATAAAATTAATATGATTCAAACACTTACAATATCCTTGTTGTGTACAGTCACCGGAGAGGAAAATCCTAAGGGCACAGTGGAGACGCACCATAAACTTCTGGCGGAAAATATTCGCAAGTGTCACTTTTTGTATTTTTACACTTACGCTTGTACTTGGTAATGGGCTAAAGAAAAAACCAATTGGGTAGTTGACACTACTAACAAGTAATTCAAAAGCACAACATTATTAAAACATCTTAGTACTGAAGACTGATCTATAAAGTTAAAGTATGATTTTTAGTACTTTTTACCCTTGGCAAAAAGGTGACTAGGCTTTTAAAAAAGTTGTCAATAGACTGGTGGTGGTGTCAATTACCCAGTTATGATTATTGTGTTCAGAATGTATGGATGATGGCACATCAGGGTAAACATTGTGTTATTAAAATTTATCAACTCTCTTATGTAGTCGTAATAAGTTTTAATTTGGATCAAAATGTATTGTCTGATGTGCTGTTGACTGTACATGATAACTCATATTTTAGTTTTTTCTTTGGTATTGTGCTTGAAAATATGTATGTATAATGTGTGTTTTGCTTGCGTATTTAAAAAGAATAATCTGCCTTTTTTTGTGTACTAATTCTTAACTTTTTCAAACTGATGGAAATTGAGAGATAAACGCGCCAATGTTCAAAAGAAGAGGCCCGTGACGTCAAGGCGTGCTTAAAAGTGTAGCATTTTGTGACGTCACGCGAAATTTCAACGCAACATAACTTCGTATTACTTGTTTGATTGACAAATATTTTTTGATAATGTAATTGACGGACCAAAAGATTTTTACAGGAAACTAGCCTAATCTGAGCCTAGCGAAGTTACTATGCGGATAGTTATCGGTGATTTGTTAACCAACATTTATAACTAGAGATTAGATTACTGATTTCAATGATACCGGCTAGATTATGTAGCAGAATTGCTACTTATGTCAGTGGGCCTATTCCCCAAGACGATAACAATATTATTAGGTATAGCTGTCTCTTTTATTCGCGTCGGCAAATTACAATATCCGAGTGAGAGGATAGAACCGAAGATATCGATATTGATTTGCGAAATAAGACTTTATAGTAACGTGGGAGGGAAGAGGGTGCACGCATGCGTAAACATTGCACATTAGGTATGCGCTTCGGTAGAGCGCAATAATACTGAGGAAACGGATTGTAACCGCCTCGCATACTACATAATAATAAACAATGTTGTTGATTTTGAGCATTTAACGTATTGTTGTAATCGGCGTTACTACTATTAATTTAATTGAGTTTAGGGTTTATTTAACAAGCAGTTTTATGTAGTTCATTCATGCATAACGCAATTCGTTGTCTTACGTGGTGGATGTTGTATAGTTCTACTAAAGTGTTTTATTTATACATATCTGAAAAAAGTATCACCAAATTGCATGCATGCTTACTGCTGTTCTAATCATTAATTTGCCTGCTTGTGTTGTTTTATAGTTGTGTAATTAATTTATGTATTAACACAAACGAAGATGTAAATTTTGAGGGTTTCTCTGGGATATTTGTTGCTTGACTAATAAAATTACTTTGGTTAATTTATTTGGTAGATTTTTACCCCCTTTATCATAAATCAAATTTTAGCTATTAAGTTATTTTCAAATGTCATAATCATTTAATTACATTTCTTAGCCCAAAGATTTCCTTACACCTTTACTACTATCACCCAACCTATTTGGCATTAAAAAATAAATACCTGCTTATAACGGAAAATTCAGGTTTCCAATTTTATCCACAACAAAGTTACAAGAGGTCGAAAATGACCTGAACTGTTTCAAAAAAAGCACGGTACGGCTCTGCTTGACTTGGCGATTACATTGCCGTGCCCCAGATAGATGTATTTCTACAACTGTCAATTGTCCCACAGGCCATGATGACAGGCAGTGTGTCAACGTTCGCCGACGTGGCTCTCAACTTCGGAGCGCCCGCGGTCCGTGGGGACAGCGTGTTGCGAGTCGCTGCCTCTAGGGGCCGCCGCTCCATCATGTACGGCGATGACACGTGGTTGAGGCTGTTCCCTGGTCTGTGGTCGGAGTCTGACGGGACCACTTCGTTCTACGTCACGGATTATACTGAAGTGAGTTTCTATGTCGTCATCATTTCTCATCATTATGAGGTCATTTAGTCTCCATTGCAGGAACACGACCCACTCCAATGAGGGCTATCGTTTTTATACTTAACAGTTGTCACCCCTGGCGATTGACAGGACCTTACTCTACAGTGGCGCCATCTTGATGAGTGCAAATGCTATAGTCCCCCTACCACTTTAGCGCTCACCAGTTGATGCCACTGTCTTCGCTACTAGCAAGTGACAGGACCTTACTCTACAGTGGCGCTAACTAGCGCTAAAACGATAGCCCTCATTTACCAGAGGCAAATGGAGGATTTGACCTACATTCCCCACACTGGCCAAGGGGAGTATTTCTCATTAGTTAATGCGTTAAGATTTGACTGACGATGGTAGAAGTTTACCTCTTAGTGGCGCCTTTAGAAGAGAGCAGAAGCATTTAAGTGCTTTCTACAAGCTCTTCTCATTTTTCAAATAAATTAAACATTACACTTTTTTACGAGTATGTAAATTATCTTTCTAACATTTCCCCCAAAAACTATTTTTTGTCTGATTTTTGACTAGACTTAAATGTCTCCAGGAATAAATCAGCTAAGTTTTTTTTATGCTAGACAAGGCAGGTATTTGACCGCAATCGCACCTGGTGTTAAGTGAGATGCAGTCTAGGATGGTGCATATCTGATCATTGTAAGTGATCATTTTTGAGAATTTACTAAAGCCTGGTCCATAAGCACGTAGAATTTTGTCCAATGACCCCAAGCTCGCACACTCACTGCGGGTGCCCGTCGCACAGTCGCGACAGCAATATAATTACGCGCGAGCGATAAGGATGGGTAGCTTGCGGTCATTGGACAAAGTTCTACGTGCTCCAAAAACAGGCTTACACCAGGCTTTAAAATTTATTTTAAACATTGCGCCTGTTCCAATATTTCAGGTGGACAACAACGTCACCAGGCACTTAGACAAGGTTCTCACCCCAGACGAGAAGAACAAGCCAACGTTCGACTTCCTGGTCCTCCACTACCTAGGCCTAGACCACATTGGCCACCTGCAAGGTGCCCGTAGCCCGCAGATAAAGCCCAAACTGCTGGAAATGGATGAGGTGGTGAAGAAAATTTTTACTGCTATGGAGAAATGGGTGAGTGAAACTTGAATGTGTTTGTTTCGCGTGGATATGATAGGGAAGTTTATTACAATAAACCACCAATTAATTGGTGCGCTTTTTATGAGCTGACAAAAGTCGATTCTCTCAAAAATTTTGTATGGTAATTAAAATAGAATAAAATTTGTTAACTTTAAAACATAAATCTAAATTTACAGTTGATTTGAAACTAATAAGACTTTGTAATATTGTGCTTTGCAAAGGGTAGTGAACACTAGTCAGTTGACATTATACTAAGGCTGAGTTGCACCATCTTACATAAACTTTGACAAAACTTCAAAAATCTGTCAAAGTCCATACAAAAAACACCGGTTATTGTTAATGTTACGGTTAAAATAAGGTGGACTCAGCCTACGACACAATTTTTGTGTACTACCACAAACTGAAAAGTTAATTCGGATTTCAGGGCTCAGGTAAGAGTGTTTTTTAAGAAGCTGCAATCTTCTAGTCTTAGAACTATTCATTATTGGTGTCAACTACCATATTATTGATTGGCGGTGTCAAATATCTAACTTATTATGTTTTTCCAGGATCGCCACGGAGTCTTGTTCATATGCGGTGACCATGGTATGAGAGATGCAGGCGGCCACGGCGGCGCCTCGCCCGCTGAGGTGCTGGTGCCATTAGTGGTAGCCAAGAGCGCAGACTTCCAGTGCCCGCACGCGTGAGTAGACCTTATTAGTATAGGCATTAGGTCGAGAATAAATCAAGTGCCCGCAACCGTGAGTGATGTTGAAGACCTAATGCCTATACTAATAAGGTATAGGCATTAGGTCGAGAATAGACCGGACGGCCACGGCGGCGCCTCGCCCGCTGAAGTACTAGTGCCGCTAGTAGTAGCCAAGAGCGCAGACTTCCAGTGCCCGCACGCGTGAGTGATGTTGGGACTTTATTAGTATAGGCGTTAGAGTGAGAATAGACCGGGCGGCCACGGCGGCGCCTCGCCCGCTGAGGTGCTGGTACCATTAGTAGTGGCCAAGAGCGCCGACTTCCAGTGCAGTGGAATAAAGTGTGTAAACACATTAGCGTCTATAATCTTTAGAGTACCTTCCTTTCCGGCTTTGTCGTTAGTAGCCGGTTCCATATTCCATGTAAAGCAAGACCAAGCTTACGTGACGTATTCTCTCTCTCTCTCTCTCTCTCTCTCTCTCTCAGGCAAGGCCCAGGCCCCACGTAGACAAATGCCGAGCGACACGCGCCAGCCAGCGTCTGTGACCTTTGCTGTCTGAAACGCGACTGCAACGAAACTGCAACTGCTAGTTACTTTTGAGTTGCATCTAACTTTCTGCCATAGCGTCCGTTGAGAGACCACACATGACGCGACCAGTTTGAAACTTTCAGTTTCAGTTTCATTCATCAGAATCATCACAAAGTTGCAGTTTCGTTGCAGTTGCGTTTCACCGTCTGTTCTGGGCCTTAGAGATCACGCTGTTTTTTTAATACTAGCGCATTTTTCTTTGTCTTCTATCCCCATCTCTTTCATTACTGGCTGGTCTCCTACTGCTGTGTAGGACACCTTGTGAAGGGCACAAGAGCACTTGGGGTCCATAGTCGCCCATAGAAAATACAGTCATTATGGTTGGAGAATCATAATTAGCTTATTGTTTCATCTAAAGAATCTCAATCTTAACTCTCCTCTTCTCTCAGGCTAGGCCCAGGCCCTACCGTAGCTCAAGTGGACCTGGCGCCGACCATCGCTTGGCTTCTCAACGCCCCGGTGCCGGGCGACAGCGCAGGCCGAGTTTTGCCAGCACTTTTGCCGCGAGACACCCGTCAACATTTGTACCTACTTCATACGGTGGCCGCTCATAACGCGAAGCAACCCGACTTGCCTAAGGATACAGGTAAATACCACAGTACCACAGAATAATAATATGTACTACATAAAGAAAGTTTTCTTCGTGAAGGTATTTAAGAAAATTCGTCAACTCTTGTCTAAAGTCCGGTCGCCGAGCAGATAGAAATTCGTCCAATGACCCCAAGCTACCCATCCTTATCGCTCGCGCGTAATTATATTGCTGTCGCGACTGTGCGACGGGCGCCCGCAGTGAGTGTGCGAGCGCGACAGCAATATAATTACTCGCGAGCTCTAGAGATGGGTTAGCTTGGGGTCATTGGACGAAATTCTATCTGCTCGGCGACCGGACTTTACTCAATTTCGTCGACAATATTATTAGCTATAGCTTCTCTTAGAGACGAGCACACTTCCGTTTACTTACATACGTCAGTGATCGGTACTGTGCCGTTGCGATTGCGATAGAGCTAAGCTACAATAATGAGTGCTATCGTTTTTATACTTAAGGCTAGGATTTACCGCCTCGATGCCGTGCATTTGTTACCTCAGCCCCCGCACACCTCGCACTGACACTCGCGCTGACACTCGCGCTTCGCGATGACGCCACAGTGTAAAAACAAGCCGTAAGTTGGATTAAACCGTAACCTTCAAATAGTGAATAAATAAATAATAAAATTAAATATCCTTCGACATAATATTTTAACACTGCGCCTCTAGTCTCAAACTAAGCAAAGCTTGTACTATAGGATATGAACATATTACTTAAATAACATAACATAAATAAATACATTCATATTATGGTTAGAAAACACCCAGCCAGAAACAAACATTATTATAATTTTCATGCACACAAATGTTTGTCAATCAATAATGTCAAATAAAGATGATAATATTAAGTCAAACAAATACTTTTTACCGACAAAAATAGTAAGCAAATGATCACAAAAATGTAAACTTCATTTTAATATGAAATACTAATGTTCTTTTACGTATTGCTATTCTATTTAAGCAAATGACTCTAAATTAATCATTGTAAACCCAGAAATAGTAAACAATCCTCAAAACAACTTGCCTAGAGGTCCTCTTCTGCCCTTTTATAATTTTTAACTCAGATTCAAGCAGTAAACTTCTAAAATAATTATTTATGGTATCAATTAAATAACTGTATCGCCATCTAGTTATATAATTCAGCATCTTTAAAAAATTGTGAAACATCGGAATTGATGACTCGCCTTATATTCTTTCATCATCAAAAAGTACCTAATATTATCATCTAATTGTAAATTACGGCAACTATTTCCTCATAATTATTTGAAAATATAAGGCAAAAATGTTTAAGTTTTACAAAACTATGAAGAGCAGATATCTCGAAAACCATACAAGATATTATCGAAAAACTTGACTGAAAAAAGTAGTAAATGAAATGAGATTTCATTTTGTTGCAATAGTCATATCGCCAGGACGCATAGTTATTTATTTAGACAGTTTCTGAGATATAAGCGAAAAACCCAAAAATGGGACCTTCAAAGGCTGCGATCGAGAACTTTTGTCATTCACTTAAGTTACACGTGTTTTATAAGTTAGGCGATTTTTGTTTGTTAGGAAAAATGGATCAAAAAATCAAAATCAAAAATATTTATTCAGTTTAGACCACAAGTGGCACTTATGAACGTCAAAATATAGTAAATAATAAAAAAAAAGGTAGCCCCTATGGGGCACTTTACATGTCTCCTTACCTTTTGGGCCCTACCAGCACTTCGAGACAAACATATGGCAAGTGCTGAGAAGAAACGCCGGAACAAACTCCTTACGATCAAAGAATTTAAATCAAGTTTTACTTATAAAATGAAATGAAAAGTGTTTGAAATGTTAAAAATGGTCTTTGGTGAGTCTGCGGTGAGTGAATCAAGGGTTTACGAGTGGTAAAATCGTATCTAAGAAGACCATGAATGCATAGAAGATGACGAGCGCTCTGGACGCACCAGCATATCAACAACCGATGAAAATGTGAAAAAAACAGAAAGAAGTGGTTATGAAACACCGTCGAATCACAATTAGGGAAGATGCTGATGATGTTAGCATATCGTTTGACTCATGCTATGAATATTTTTTGGATTTTTGTCGGTATGAAAAATTAATTTGTTAGAAAATTGCTGAATTTTGAGCGAAAGTGGCGGCGAATTTTTGCTAAAACAAAACTGTAACAATGTTCCAATCTCCAAATTTACCGGAAATGGCTGTGTATGACTAGTTTCTATTTCCGTGAATAAAAATAACTTTAAAGGGTCATCGTTTTACAGACATAAGTGACATTAAACACGCGTCGCCGATCGATGTAAAGGCTATCTCAAAGATCGACTTTGAGAAGTATTTTGAGAATTGGAAGAAGCGCTAACACACGTGTATAATGTATAATAGGGACTATTTTAAAAGTTTAAATACTAATGTAGATCAATAAATAAATACTTTTCTGAAAAAACGAAAATTCCCGTTATTTTTTAACAGACTATGTATACATACATAGGGTTGCCAGGTCCAGAAACACAAAAGCCGGACTCTGTGCTTCATTTGGCCGGACATTTTACTTTAAAATTAGTGTCATAGCTCACGAAGTACTATCATCATCGGTTGCCCAGCGCTTGATATTATTCCGTAGCTCGGCTTTCTTTCGCATAAAAAGCCTAACAAAAGCCAGACAGGCTGGACAAGACAATATTTGGCCAGACAAGACCGTAAAAAGCCAAACATGTCCGGATAAAACCGGACACCTGGCAACCCGATACATATATGTATAAATGATCTCATATTAATCACATTTACCAAATCATAATTATTTCATAATAACCGGTAATTATTCATAATTTTTATCACATTTACCGTAACATATAAATCAGGAGGACAAGTCATAATAAATATTGTTCTTTATAATTTGACGCTTTCTTTGGAATAGTTAGGTGGCATTTAAAAGAAGGCGAATTAGTATATTAGAACTTTAGAAGCCTCTTAATATTCCCGTGGCTTAGTTTTAAAATCAAAGGTTGGATACCGTGGAAAAATAATAATAATAAACTTTATTTCTGTATAAAAACAGCCTAAAATATTATTATAAATTATCTGCGGCTTGACTCATAATTTCCCATAAATAAATTAATTTTAACTCATTGGTTTTATCTGATATTTGGAAAATGTACTATGTATCATGCATGATTGAAAATTCTTAGCTTTCTCCAGTAATACTGATATTATTATACTGTGACTCGCCACCCGCCAGACAGAGGCGATTTTGTCAAAAATATTGACAAATCGCGAACTGTCACAGGAATAAAACTGACACGCGTCCGTCCTCCGTAAGCGCCACCGCGCGACTGATTGAGATTGTTCAAGCCGTCATGGCCGATTTTTTCACATTTTTTCATCATAGTAACTAAATAAGACGCAATAACAAAATTTTGAAAAGTTGTCGACCTAGAAAATACAAAGTCCTATCTATTAGTATATATTTTAAGTGTAAAATGTTAAAAATGAATATATGAGAGTAAAACAAAAAAGCCGTCGACGTACTTCTTTGGAATTTTTTTTTATCGGACAAACTATGCAATATCGTGTTTTGGAAAAGTTGTCGCCCTAGTTAAAGACATTAACTTACTCCTACAATTTTTTGTTTGCTAAAATATCTTTTCATTTAGAAACTATCTGCAAACAAAATCGGTCAAATATCGACAATTTGGGAAATCATGGCCTTAACAGTTGGCACCCCTGGCGATTGACAGGACCTTACTCTACAGTGCGCAGTGGCGCCATCTTGATGAGTGCAAATGCGATAGTCCTCCTACCACTTTAGCGCTCACCAGTTGGTGCCACTGTCTTCGCTACTAGCAAGTGACAGGACCTTACTCTACAGTGGTGCTAACTGGTGAGCGCTAAAACGATAGCCCTCATTAATGTAGCTTGCCCAATGCCCACATAATGATGTGATTGTTATTCTAACAGCAGGTCATTTAAAGGGCACTCAAACTGAATTTATATCCTTCAGTAAACCACAGCTTAAAAAAATATCTAATTATGGCCCTAAAACAGTTAGTTTTAAGCTGTAAAATTCCACTGTAGTACAGTCACGGAATGAAAAGGTTCGTCAGTTTTCAAATTGATTACTTCAACGAATCGCGAGCACATATTACCGTTTGAAACTATGTTACAGAATAATCTCGAGTTAGAGAAAATAATCTTTAACTGCTCGTCAGTAAAGTTCAAAATTATTTACATCAAAGTTGTGTCAAACAACTTGTCAAGAAGATTATTATGATTGATAAACTAAAACCTTCTTGTTGGTTCAACCTGCCATTATCTATTAAATAAAAAAACTACATTTTGTAATATTGCACTAATGGGATAGAAAAATAAACAAGCAAAACCTTATTCGTTAGCAAACGTCATATTTATTTAAATGTTAGCATCACTGTTTCTTGCACTGTTATGTTGGCAGGTTTGACTCTTACAGTACCTAGTGCAAGCAAAAACCGACACTAAGGTGACGAACTTTTTCATCACAGATTAGAGAGTATGTCTAAAGACAGATAGGAAACGGCCCTAGTATTGGTTGAACGATAAACAAACTGGTACCGAGCTAGATTGTCCAGTAGGTGGCGCTGAATACAATATGGCGTCTGACGCCCACAGATTAAATATACCTGTCATACTTTTTTATGATCCGTTCCTTTTCATGTATTGCGGTTAAAAATAAAACTATTGAAGTATCAAATGAAACTTTATTGATGAAATATAACATGAAATATTTTGTTTACGAAAATCAATAAGCATTAAAACTATTTTGTAGCAAAATAGTTTAATGTTCTCCATAAATTCACACGTTCACTCTCACTTTGGTTCTGTCCAATCCAATAGCCACTGTAAGCAGGCCAGACCTACACGTTTCTCACCACCTGTAAAATATATGAAATATTTGTAAATTTAGAGCAAAAAGATGCACATGTCACCGTAAGACTGTAATCTCCTACATTCTACACTAATATTATAGAGTACAGCCGATAAACAAGTGATCTGTCTTATCTACCATACCTACCTACTGTCTGTTTTGTTTCTAGATTTGCACTACTTTGTTAAATAAAATTAATTTACCTTGTCAAATGTGCACTTTTCAATCAATTACATGTACATTCACAGAATCTGGATTCCACCAATCTGTAATTAAATAATTAACTTTTAGGTCTTTCTATTTGATATCAATAAAGTTAGAATCATTTTGAGGGTGTTTTAAATTTTAAAGGTACTTACCAAATGTTCTTATCAACAGAAGTTGTTTTAATTGTTATCTGGGTAATTGATCCAATACAAATGTTTCTAATTTAATGCATTTATGTCACGGCATAACCTGCAAATGAAATGAGTTCATAGTTTGAATCAAGCATTCTTGGTCTGGTTTTATTGCTTAAATAGGTTTCTTCTAAAGTTATTTGAATAGGAAGTAAAGGTTATGTATCATTTTGTACCAAATAAATATTTTTTCTTTCTTTCTTTCAGCACCGGTGATTCCATAGCAAGCACTTTTATTGTAATTGCAGCTTAACACCTTATAAGTTCGAAGTTCGATATTAACCTGAAACAAATAGGTACTTAGATTAACTGTATAGTAATAAAACACGTATCATTCACTGTGTCCTGAAATCTATGCCTGCAATGTACCTACGTGTATTGTATTTTGGGACCAAACTCCAAAGTATGTTGTTACTCCATGAAACGATCCATATATGTATAGTTCCCATTGATTTAAATAGAGTTATGAATGACATTGTAATGAAGATTTAATCCTTTGTGTGGTTTAATACTTGATAAAACATGATGTTGCTGCAAGCTGCAATAACCTTTCTCGAGTCTTACTTTAGAGAAATTTCTTCTTAAACAAACATCACTCCAACAGGTAATCCATGCACATGTAGTTCTTATTAATTAATAATGAATATAATGATTGAGCAATAATTATTGATTATAATTAGTTAACATTTGTAGAAAAACACGTTTATTCGATGAAAATTTTTGACGTTTATTTTTTTTTTAAATGTCACAGTTGTAGAACTAAAGTGATTAAAGTGAAAATTACGATTTTGTATTAATACACTTTTAAATAATCATTTCATTTATAGAATGCAAATAGATTCAATAAAATAATTCATAAATAAAAGTTAAGTTGTAATTCGAAAATGTTTACTAACTTGATTCCAGACACGCAAAAGACCATTGTCGCATGCCATTGTTGTATGCATACAAAGGACAACTATAAAAAAAGTCACTTCCTCTCGGAACTGTCAAAAAAATTCACTCTTTATGGAGCTGTCAAACTCTATGGCGTTTCCACCCCGTGTTTTTCATTCCGCGACTGTACATAGCTAACAAATAAATAAAAAACATCAGAGTTCGCAGTAAAGTTAAGCATCATCGAGGTATCAACGTTTTAACTTTTTAATTTTTTTCTTCTTAGAATTCTACAGGCAATTCCAGCGCGCCGAGAAACAGTTTGCTCAATTCTTGGCTACCGGCCAGCAAAGCGCTGCCAAGATTGCCAAGGAGTTCTACGACGAGTCCTTGGCAGAGATGGCCAAGCACCTCACTGAGACCACTGTGGAGTTTGACTTGTTCGCGCTAGGTGTAGCCTGCTTACTTCTATATGTGGTAAGTAATTTTCGTAAATTCATTCAAATAACGGGTTTCTCAATCAAACTTTTGTTTAATGTGTAAGGTTAAATATTGAAACAGAAACATATAAACCATTTTTGAAAGATCAACATCCTTTCCTATCAGTATTTTATTACATCTTAGTCAACAGCATATCAGCTTTATAATATTTTAAACTTTTATGTTGCATTTTCTATAAAAATCCCGTAGCAGTGATAATTTATAGCATATCAGCTTATACATTATCGTTAATTACAAATAGCAGCTGTTACAAATACCTGTTGGTATCACAAACTTTGCATCAAGAATGTGTGTCTGATTTGCTGTCGACATTCTTTATTACCATACAGTTGTTACATTGATGCCTACTATTGCCTGTACTCTTCTTAAATTAGAGAACTTAGAAACCTTATTACATTTCTTTCCACACAGATCTCGGCGACTCTTCTCGGCGTGTCTCTCTACTCTCTGCAGCCAGCTGAGCCCAAGATCAGCGGTATCTACTGCTACAAGCCTTCCAAAATCGGCGTGGCCCTCGCATTCTTGGTCCTGGCAGCAATGAGCCTATTCATGCTCACCGCGTCTTGCTTCATCTCAGAGACCAAGAGCCGCATATGTTCCTTCGAGCCCTGGTGGACCGTCGCCTTCGTCCTCATAGGCCTGGTCTTCGCACTAGTATACGTCATCGCCAAATCCACTATAGAATACACTACCGATGCGTCAGTACTGAAAGAACTCAATGTCATTGACTACCTTCTGATCGGCGGATCTATGTTCGTCGCTTGGTCGTTCCTTGGAACCAGTTTTATAGAAGAGGAGCATATGACCTGGTACTATCTTTGGAATACGCTGATGCTGTTTATGCTGGTCAGATCTATCACGGGCCTGTTGATGTATGTTGGACAAGTGTGGACGGGCGCTTCTGCAGTGCGGGATAAGCCTGAGTTGCTGAAGAAGATGATCGGTACTGTCCATATGCTGCCTAAGTGGATTATGCTGCTTGCACTGCATAGGTGAGGCTACTAAAAAACTTAGACCTTCTTCAATAAGGACTTACTTCCGTATTCACAAAAATTACTATGAGGTCTCACAGCGCGCGTGGACGCACAGGGTGACACACGAACCAATCACAGTGCTCTGTTCAAAGCTGTGCGTTCGATTTGCTGCTTCACTTAAGCAAGCAACGTTTGTGAATACGAGCGTTAGTATTTTCTCTCGACAGTTGGCGCACTTGGCGCCATTGGCGAACAAGGTCCTGTCACTTGTTAGTGGCGCTAACTAATGAGCGCAAATACGAGAGCCCTCATTTTATAAACAAATAACAATGTATAACTATTAGAGATGAAACGGATATCCGGCAACTATCCGGTAGGCCGGATATCCGGCCTAAATTTACTATCCGGCCGGATACCGGATAATAGCTCACTATCCGGCCGGATACCGGATATTAAAAAAAGTACTAAAATTTCCTATAGTAAAATGAAACACATTAATCTTTGAGTCAAATATCAATAAAATGGCTTATAATAATGACGGTTTTTATCTAAAGTCCAAAAAGTTACAAAAAAGCCATATTAAGGCCTTTCAAAAAACTAATTTCTTTTATGGGCTATATTCACTCTAATGACGAATACATAAAAATGTCGAAATATTGCCAAATAAAATAGGCGATTCTTTTTTTCACTGATGATGGTCTGATGACATACAGGGTGACTTTGAAATCGTTGGCATCTATCCTTTTAATATAAGACTACTCAATACTACTCATGATACATGGTGCTCTTAAAAAGACTTTAAAACTATTTTGTTGCAAAATAACACTTAATACATTGAAATAAGACGCCACAATATGAAGATTGATGTGCTGTCGTCTGTACAAGATTTTAAATATTGAAATTTTAATTCATTTGATATGACTCTCATATTTGGGGAATCATGAGTAGACTCTTATTTTTAAAAGAATGCCAACGATTTCAAAGTCATCCTGTATAATGCAGTTCATTCAGATTACGCAGCAAGTAAACTAATTGAATTTTCGCTATTCACTCACATACTCACGATGGCAACCGAAATCGCCCGAATTGATCTGCCCCTTAGACGAGTGGCAAAATTTGACATTCTATTCGAACGAATTCGATTTTCGAAAAGTGTGACTTTGTCTAGTCTACTAGACTTACTGATCGCGTTCGTAGCACCTGTGCAGCGCTAAACTCGTTACGACATGCAACTTGACAAAGGGACAACTAACCGGCCGCCGGATATCCGGCTATCCGGCCTAGCAGCTCGCCGGATATCCGGTATCCGGCCAAACAACTATCCGTTTCATCTCTAATAACTATGTCTTTTCAGAAAACATTTTGCTAATAATATCTTGGATTCCTTGTCTTTGTGAGGTCTATTTTATTATTTTTATTCTTGCAGATATCTTAGAACGTTGAACCAAACCGGCGACCGCTGGTTGTTCCTTCCCGACACCGCTGATTGGCTGAATGAACCTGAAAATTGGCGTTTACTGCAGGCACAAATGCTCATAGGTTCGTATACAAATGCTAACTTTACAATTCATAAAAATAAAAAGATTTTATAGCCTGACCAGGAACATAAAAACCCTGGCTTAGAGGCGCTTCAATTGCATTTGATAGTGCAACACTGAGTACAGTCGTACCTGTATTAAATTAATAGGCTAACTTTATGTATCAGGATTCAGGATTATAGGCTTATTTAATATTTTCATAAATTAACAAAAACGTATTATTATAGGTAAACTGGTTTAAATAAATTAAATGAAACCATCAATCGAGCAAGTAGGNGAAAGAACTTAACGTCATTGACTACCTTCTGATCGGCGGATCCATGTTCGTAGCTTGGTCGTTCCTTGGAACCAGTTTTATAGAAGAGGAGCATATGACGTGGTACTATCTTTGGAATACGCTGATGCTGTTTATGCTGGTGAGATCTATCACGGGCCTGTTGATGTATGTTGGACAAGTGTGGACGGGCGCTTCCGCAGTGCGGGATAAGCCTGAGTTGCTGAAGAAGATGATCGGCACTGTCCATATGCTGCCGAAGTGGATTATGCTGCTTGCGCTGCATAGGTGAGGCTACTAAAAAACTTATAACCGTTTTCACCATCAATCCCTAATTTTTAAGTGACCTCTATGATAACACATAACAGGAATTTTGTTTTTTTATAGGGGTCACTTAAAAATTAAAGATTGATGGTCAAATCGGGCATTAGAGCCTCTCCAAAAAGGGCTATTGTTTGCTCTCCCCAGTTAACGCCATTGGCGAGCGATCTGTCAATCGTTAGTGGCGCCAAATAGTGAGCGCAAATACGAGAGCCCTCATTATTTTTATGTATACAAAAGTATTTGCAAGAACACCTTTTGCTAAATCTACGACACATTGTAAGTCTTTTTGACAATAATACTTCTAGAATTCTAGATTCTGAAGTCTGTTATATTCTTGCAGATATCTTAGAACATTGAACCAAACCGGCGACCGCTGGTTGTTCCTACCCGACACCGCTGACTGGCTGAATGAACCTGAAAATTGGCGTTTACTGCAGGCACAAATGCTCATAGGTTCGTATACAAATGCTAACTTTACAATTCATAAAAATAAAAAGATTTTACCGCAAAAACGTAGCGTGGGCAGGCCTCCTACTAGGTGGACCGACGATCTGGTAAAGGTCGCGGGAAGAGCCTGGATGCGGGCAGCGCAGGACCGTTCATTATGGAAAACCTTGGGGGAGGCCGAGGCCTTTATCCAGCAGTGGACGTCATTTGGCTGAAACGAACGAACGAACCGCAAAAACACTTGAAATTGAATAAACAAGTTGACTTCTATATGTTTGTTTACAGGTACCCTGGCAACATTAGTACTATGCATCAGGAACCTTAAATACACGAACAATATCTGCTACATCCATGCTGTGCTCTCGGTATTATCGACGCTATGCATCCTCGCCTACCGGGTCACCACGCAGTCTCTATACAGCCCCTTCTCAGACGTCGAGACGTGGGACCCTGTTATAATCGTTAACGTCTTTTGGGGGTTGATCACAGCACAATTCGTCTTCGAAATCCTGACCTACGTGGGTATATTCAGAAACTGCGGCAAAAAAATCAAGAGCAACAACACGTTCGAATACAACAAGCCTAAAGCGAAGACGGAAGACTATATCTACCAACCCTTGATCGAAGAGCCGTGGAATCTGAGCGAAGTGAAACTCAACCTGGTCCGTTCTGTGTCCCATTTGATGTTGAATAACATGATGTTGGTCATAGCTTTGCTGATGAGGCCCCACAATGTGATCCTGATTCCTAGCATTCACATTACGTGTGAGCTGACGGCCAAGTACTTGGACCACAAGTTACTGGATGCTAAAAGTCGCAGGCATATGGAGGCGGTCGATGTCATCACTCAAACGTTCGTGCATCTGTGGATTGGCAGCGTTTTCTTCTTCTATCAGGTAAGTTAACTAGTAGTAGTTATGCACGGATTCTAGTGGCTTTTGTATATTTTGAAACGAAGTTAATTTTAATTAGTTATTAGTTATCTAAATCTATATGTGTTAGAATGCTGTTTGTTTTCCTAACAATAAAAAAATAAAGTCCATTCGCCGAGCAGATATAATTTCGTCCAATGACCCAAAGCTACCCACCCTTATCACTCGCACATAATTATATTGCTGTCGCGCTCGCATAATCACTGGCCGCCCGTCGCGCAGTCGTGACAGCAATATAATTACGTGCGAGTGATAAGAATGGATAGCTTGGGGTCATTGGACGAAATTCATTGAATGAAATTGGCGACCGGACTTTAGAAAGTAAATTCGATTTTCATGATAAGATCAAGATCATAATGTTACCGTTAGCTACCGGGTCATTCCATCGTTTCGGGTGTTACGTTCGTACACACATATTCAACAATTTCATGTATTTTGAAATAGTATTTTAATAATGTTAGTGCCTTAATCTGTCCGTTTTTAGTTGTTTTATTTAAATAATAAAGTTTGTACAGCTTAGAATGTAGGATAACGAAAATATGAGTCGAAAAGTGTGCGTTTCGGGCGTTACGAGATTTTGCCTCTATGTTCTGACTGTTGCTGCATTTACTCGAAATTTAGCGAATTTTCTTAAGGAATCATACCTAAAACTTACAGGACTTCTAAAGTATGAAATTTACAAACCATGTAACATACAATCACTGTTAAATAAAACGTTTTACTACTTTTTTATAAATTTTTTCTTTGTTTCGGCAGCACGAAATTGTGCGCAACAGTGGGCAAACGGCTGTTCTCGGTGGAGACCGGCTGCGGATGATTCACGCAGCAGTGGGCCTCTCAGGAACTCAGGAACGTTGGAAGACTTGGGCCGGGCCGGAACTCGGTGTGGTATTGGATTATTGGAGGTCCACACAGTGGAGTCGGCGCTTACACACAACACGGCACACACACACGCGTCGAGACTGGATTTATAGATTTAACTTGGTTTTGAAATTGAACTGTAGACGTTGACCGGGGACTCTTTTTGAATCCCTTTGCGCTGCCACCAAATGTTATGAGCCTCTGGGGATTTGGGTTTTTAAAAAAGAACACGAGATTAAAAGGATAAGACAGCCGTCTAGTTCGGATGGTGGAATGAGACTGACTTGGAAATGCGAGGTATCGCAGGCTATGGATGGAAAAGGATGAGTCGGCAAAAGGCGGAATGTCAAGTAAGCAATATAGGGTGCGAGGGCTATCTGTAACAGAACGCATGTGTCATATACAGGGTGGAAACGATAAGTGATCTCACTCGATTATTTCTAAACTATACAAGATATCGAAAAACTGATTGCTGATCCTGAAAGTGCTTCACAAGCTCTTTCAAACGATACCAATAATAGGTTACAGAATAAACTGGAACTATTCGAAAATTCAATGTTTCTAGCTTCCATACTAAATGTATGCCAGCCACACAATATTAGAAGTGTAATTTATTTTTTGTTTAAATAATAAACTTAAAAAGTCGGTTAAATAAACTCGTAACTTGCATCTTATTTAAAATTATTGGTTAAAAACATTAGTATTAGGCTTTACTTGCTATAATATTATCAAGAGATGAGTGCCATGACTGTGATAGTAGTAAATGTATGGAAGATGGAAACATTGAATTTTTGGATAGATCTAATTTATTCTGTAAGCTATTGTTGATACCGTTGGATAGAGCTCGTGAAACACTTTTAGGATTAGTAACTAGTTTTGCGATATCTTGTGTAGTTTTTAATATTATGTAACTTTACCAAATGTATGGAAGCTGGAAACATTGAATTTTCGGATAGTTTTAGTTTATTCTGTAACCTATTATTGGTACCGTTTGAAAGAGCTCGTGAAGCACTTTCAGGATCAGCAACTAGTTTTTCGATATCTTGTATAGTTTAGAAATAATCGAGTGAGATCACTTATCGTTTCCACCCTGTATGTTCTCAAACAAAATGCATAAGACAATCACGACAGATGGTGCATTCTGCCACCACTGGCGTTATTTATACGTTCACAGTTGGAGTTCCAAGTAGAGACGTCATCCATTGATAGCGCGTGAAGTGTATGTGTTACAAGTGATGCAATGAAGCCAGCGATGTGTAGGATGGAAGCAATGCGTCAGATGTGTGCGCGCAATCGGCGTACGCGCTCAACACGATAAAAATTCAGTCCGAAGTGAGGCACGGTCCATGCAACAGGTCCAATAAGCGCCCAGACGTCATTTTTAATACGATCCAGGCACACGCGTGCCGGCAACCGAGCATTGTGCGTGAAATCCGCACTAAATACAATCGAAATACGATATTTACGGGGACATTTCTCGATTTTTATCATTGTTGAGTGATAGCGAAGTGCACACGTGAAGTTGGGCGAGGTTAACCGCGCACACAGAAATTGGGTCATGGTATACCAATTTAATTAGTGATGCTTAGCTGAGTGAGTACTGTTTTTCTATTTTGCACTTTCGTTTATTTGTTAACTTTTATGTAGAGTGTTTGGTATGACACATTTGCGTGTTGGTTACCGTCTCTAAGTTATGAAAATGTGTACGCATGCGCGGTGCCCGATCAAAATTGGATTACATACGCGTGCCGCTAAGTTATTCAGCGCATACCCCGATTGATCAGTTCCGATGCATATCGAGAGTTTTAAATAATTTAAATGTGTTCTTACTGCGCTAAATGTCAACGAAAATCAATAAAAAATAGACAAGAATATAAAAAAGTTAATGATCAAGCAAAAGCAATTAATCGCATGTTAAGATTGACTTGTATGGATTTGTTTAGTTAATTATTGTAAAATACTTTTTCAAGTACCTATGTTGAGTAATTATGTAAACAAAATGTAATGTATGACAATTAGTCATCTAGGATTTAGAGACAAAAGACGAAATCAATCAACAATTTATCTTTTCACTAATAATGATGCGAACAAAATAAAATTATAGCAAAGGAGTCTAAAAGGTAAGTGTACCTAGACAAAAATGGTATAAATATCTTATTATTCTGGTAAATATGGATTACAATACGCCAGCTGTATAAACGGCCATCAAATTAGTCTACGAGGAATCACTATCACCACAATCATTCAATTATTAGATTATCCTTTAGTAAAAACAATCCTTATTTATGGGTTTTTATTGTTTTTGTAATTTAATTAGTATTTTCCTCTGACTGTACCCGTAATAATTACATTAGTAAACATTACTTAATACACTGAAAAACATTTTATTTTTATTTAATTTATGTGAAACGTATTCTGACTCTACATTTTAATGATTTGTCGTCTCTTTCAATTAAGAATGTTCTAGAATCTGATCATTGTTTCCATTATCTATGTCGAACATTCTTGCATATAATTTGCATCTTTTTAAGTTACATTAATTCGTTTCAACCGACCCACGTAGATCCAAACTAAGTAGAGTTTGAACACTCAAATGCACATCAGAATATACATATTTGAAGCAAAATATACCCTATTCCAAAAATATCAAGATGCCACTGTGTTTAGCTTAACCTACCATCGCGTCGTTTGTATTAACCACTAGATTATAGATAAACCCATTAACTTAAAAAGACACGTAAGATACTTTGTTTGCTACGAGTATAAACATCCATCTCACTTTCCCACATAATAATGGCCTTATTTCAATTAAACAAATAACCGTTCACAGCAGGATAATGCAGAGCTCTGAATCCCTTACAAACAAATGCAAAAATGATACAAAATACGTTACAATTTCAAATTGAAACCGATCCCACAGTCGTGTACCTGCCCCAACAATGGACCGGACCCATGTGTTGATGCGCACACGCTTGACGCACGTGTCTGTGCGCGTCACAGATTATATCCATTCACTCGCTAGTATAGTCTCACGATTCTGAAACGTCAAGTGGCAAAAATCAAAAAGTAACAACCCTGTATTAATAGTAGCGCCCTCCTGTAAATGACAATTATATGGTTTTCCAATGTGGCAAAAATTGGAACTAATAATCCAGTATCCTTACAATGTCATAGCTGGGACGATTCAGTGTAACTGTAGGTCCTCTATAACATAGGTGTTGAAGTTTTTATTCCACCACGAGGAAGCTCTTAGCCTGCATCTGACCTGATGGAAAATGATGATCAGACCGAAGGTGGAAGCGAGCTTCACCCGGAATCCTCAACCACAGACAAACTGGCTATCTTACCTCGAACTACCGGAGCACTACTTAGGTAAAATGGTGACAGCTAGCTAAGCGGACTTAGAACAAGCCTACCACCAGCCAAACCGAATAGAAAAATCTGCCCTCACTGAGAATCGAACCTGAGACTCCTGGGTTTGAAGCAAGTGGACTACCACCATTTTTTTTTGTGCTTACCATGAGTTCACGTTAGTCGTTAGGTGTGTCACTAGCGAGTACGTCAAAAAAATCTGTGAAGATTTTAGTTCTAGAAAGTAGCCGCTAAGGGCGCTGTATGATCGGCAGCAGTTGAATAGAACACAAATACTATTCCATCTTCGGCCTGATCACCATTTTCCATCAGGTGATACGTGTGCAAGCCAGAAACAACCCATGGTGGTTAAAAGAAAGTTAACACTAGTATGTATAGCAAATTACGATAACCGGGGAAATAAGGTCATCAAAGTAGCTAACTTATCATTAATCTAAGTGAAAAAACGAGTAGGTACTTCTTACGTTCTTACATTTTTGCAATTAAAAAGATAAGATAGCTATCCATACTCAAAAGATAAAAGTAAAATAATACCTACAGCTGTAAAAAATAAGTAGGTATAATAGTCATTGAATTTCGAGAAAGGTTATTTGACAATGTCAACCAACAATATTGATAATGACATTGATACGCGTAATTTTTAAGGGCGAATATTCATGAATACTTGAATAATAACTTGATCATCATCATTATCATATTAGCCATAGGACGTCCACTGCTGGCCGGCTGGT